GGCACTTTATTTTTTATTTCTTTTCAGATAACTAAGGATTTTATTTTTCTGTCTTTGCCAAAAGCTGACAAATGACAATTAAATGAAAGTTAGTTGCAACCTAACATTTGTAATCTTAGACCAAATCCATAAACTTTTATATTCTTACTTTAAAATTCATTGGTCGGGGCCTCCCTGGTGGCGCAGTGGTTGAGCACTGGGTTGCAAAGCTGCCCGCAGCCTCTGCGGAGCCGGTTCGATCCCCGGCTGAGGGTCCCACATGGCGCGCGGACCTCTCCTGCCACCCGCTGCTCCCCTTAGCAGTGTACTTCGTCAGCCTGCCTGTTCTGCTCCCCCCGCTCTGGCTCTGGTGAATTCTCTCACCCTCCCACGCTTCTGACTGTACCCAGTGCTTGTATAAATAAATAAACAAATAAATAAATCTTTAAAAAAAAAATAAAATAAAATAAAATAAAATTCATTGGTCTACCTTAGATTTTGAATGGATGTGCAATCTCATGCCTCGGCCATTTGAAAAATAATGACCCATTGAATTATTCATATTTTCCAAATATTATTTTATTTTTTTAATATCAAAATATCATATTCATTTATATCACCACCAGTCTCACCAGAAAAGTCTTTAAATGGAAATATCCTGAGGTGTCTAGTATTTTTCATACTTTACAGGAAACCCCAGTAGATTAAAATTTGCAGTGTCTTGCTCAGGCCCACTGGGAATCAAGAGACCTGGTCCAGCCACTGGACCGATGCCGCTGCTTGGAAAGCACACAGCACAGTCCACGGAGACTTAGATCCAGACCCATAAGCAGGCACATCCTCGAGCCTAGTCAGGAGACATACAGTCTGCACCTCCTCAAGCTGTGAGTTGGGTTTTTTTCACCTACAAGATGACAATGTCACCAACAGCAGCTAACATTTGTTAAGTGCTCAGGAAGTACTTACCCCAAGATCACATACTCTCACATGACGCTGGGAGGTAGGAAGTATTATTATGCCCACTTGATGCAGATGTGAAAGCTGAGGACCCAGACTGCACTTTATTTTTTTAATCAGAATAGGGTAGGAAGATCTAAAGGAGACTGGACAACATGTCTGTTGTCTGTTGAGATTACCTGAGACCACCCACCACCTAGCACTTGCCCCTTCCATGCTCAGGGGACAGTAGGTGAGCAGTGCTCCTCACTGAATAGGAAAGAAGTCCACGACAGGTAAAGCCTCCTTGGATCAAGCAGCCACTGGGGCCTTGGCCCGGGTGCCAGCACCGTCATGGACACTGCTGGAAACTGAACTCCTGGCCCAGGGCTGGGGTGCAGGCCTCTTAACCCAAGGCAAATTCTTAAGCCTTAGATTTCGGAGCTTTGGCGTCACTGAACATCACTGTGAGCCTTTAAAAATCTTTCTTTTTTTTAATTTTCAAACTTAAAAAAAAAAAACACTAAACTTACAAGAAGGCAGTATGACGCTCAGACACACATGACGATAAAGGAAATTACCTGTGGGTTATCCCAACAGTGTACTCTACATGGCTAAATGCAAATGCAGGAGGCTGTGAACACACTGGGCTGCAAACACAGGTACGAATACACTGGAACTGAGAGACACCCCAGTGCCAGGACTGAATTCCAGCTTCCCACCCTGCCCCACCTCCCACATTTTCATTAAGATGTTTCTTCGAAAAAAAAAAAAAAGATGTTTCTTCGAATTTTCAGACGCATTGAAAAAAAAAAAAAAATCAAGAAAATTTCTGGCTGCAGACTGGGAGGTTGTTTTGGTCAGAGAGACCCCTGGTGGCTCTTGAGCTAAACCACAGTGTCAGGCCCAAAGATGCTTCTCTTGCCCCCAGCTGTCTCCTGGACAGGGAGCTGGACTCCTCTGAGCCTAGTTCCCTCAACGGTGGAAATGGGCCAGTGACGCAAATTGCACTAAACACCACAGTGAGCACCAGGAGAACCCAGCTCACGGCCAGCTCATGTTGTGTGAACATGGTCGGTCACCTGCCCTTACCAATTCATGGCAGGTCCATCCTGCGGTTTCCTACAGCACCTCTCCATGTGGTCGGGGAGTTGATTCACCGTAGAAGGTAAACTTAACCTTACCTTACCTATGGTAAACTTAACCTTACCTATGGCCCCAATGTGGCCAACCACAAAAGGAAACATCCCTCCCTGAAATCATGTTTGCAAGGTTTCCTTTTAGGGGGAATTATGACAGTCTTCACCCCTTTATGCATTTCCAAATGCTTACATTTTTGCTATAAGCTGTTATTAAGTTTATATTAAGAAAAATAGCCATTCCTTTTCAATAGGGGGAAAAAACACTAAATTTCCATCAATTCTTGTTTTCGTCTTAGCCCATGGATGATTTTACATCTGTTTATTCATCTTTTTGAATAGGAAAAAAGGAGACTGGGATTTTGCAGCATTATTTAACATTCTCATATTCTATCCTGTAATTTTAACCGTTGTCATTGTCTTCACACAAAGAAAAACAGCAGACATATAGACATCTCCCTCTGGAATGAGCCTAAACAATGGTATTTACGTCCCTGCCCAAGCTGAGTTTGAAAATGAAGAAAGGGGAGTGGTTTCGTTCGACCAGCTCCACAATACTTTCCCACACACCAGGCTAATCTGAAAAGGGAAACAGTGTCAGCAGGAGTGGCTGCTCAGAGCACATCTTTGGATATGCAGTCCTTGCCTTCTCTTCTTAAACAAAAGGTGCATTTGAGGAATAGTTTTTATGCAAATAAAATTTCTGTAACTCCAGAAGAATTTTATAGCATTAGAAAATTTATCTATTGACATGATTTTTTCTTAAACAAAACAAAAAATCCTCTCTTCTGTAATTGAAATCCTTTTCTAATTGATTTGTTTGATTGACTGAATTTGTTCTATGTTGATTTTTTAAAAAATAAAGTTAATTTTTTGGGGGGCCTCCCCTGGTGTCGCAGCGCTTGAGCGCTGGGCTGCGAAGCTGCCCACAGCCTCTGCAGCGCCGGTTTGATCCCCGGCCGCCAGCGAGGGTCCCACATGGCGCGCAGACCTCTCCTGCCGCCCGCTGCTCCCCTCAGCAGTGTATTTCTTTGTCACTCTGCCTGTTCTGTTCCCGCTCTGGCTCTGGAGAATTCTCTTGCCCTCCTGCACTTCTGACTGTACCCAGTGCTTATGTAAATAAATAAATCTTTAAAAAAAAAAAAAAGTTAATTTTTTATTAATCTTGGTTCCTTAGTAAAATAGCAAAATGTTTTGAGAATCTATTTTTTTTGACATGTTCATTTCCAGATACCTTTTTTTTTAAAAAAATAAAACTAGAATTGCTACATTCATTTATTCAAAAGGGGATCCCTTCACAATTCTTCACTAAGGTCTAAAAGACTGAAAATTTATCAGGAATAGACAGATTTTAGGATTTACTCTGGTATATGTGGAATCATTTCAGGGAAATTTGCTCAAGTTTTAGAAAGCATCTATTTTCTAAGGAAATGGAGTCTCTTCCTAAGATGGCATTAACTCTCCCTTTCCACGGGAGAGGTCTGAGACATGAAATACGCTAGCAAATTGGACACCCACGGCTGCTCTCTAGCTGCACGAGCATATTGAGCCACAAGACAATCACCTCAGGGATCCTACAGAGAAGTTCTGTATGAGGGTGCGAAAGGGGTTGGGGTGGGATCTCGAAATATTATAAAAGATTATGTTACCATGGGGCCTCCCTGGTGGCGCAAGGGGTTAAGCGTCAGCACTATGAAGCAATCCGCAGCTAATGCAGCACGAGTTCGATCCCTGGCCAGGAAGATGACCCACATGGCACAGCAGACCTCTCCTGACTCGCATGCTGCTCCTCTCAGCAGTGTATTTCAGTCAATCCACCTGTTCTGCTCCCCACTCTGTCTCTGGTGAATCCTCTCCCTGCTCCTACTTCTGGCCTGAGTCCCAATTCTTGTATGCATAAATAAATAAAACTATTTTTAAAAAAAGATTATGGGCCGCCCTGGTGGCGCAGTGGGTTGAGTGCAGCACTGTGAAGCTGTCCGCAGCCTCTGCACCGCGGTTCGATTCCTGGCCAGCCAGGGAGATACCCACATGGCCCAGCAGACCTCTCCTGTTGTGCCCTCTGCTCCCCTCAGCAGTGCTTTTGGTCCGTCTGCCTGTTCTGCTCCCCACTCTGTCTCTGGTGAATCCTCTCACCCTCCCGCGCATCTGACCTGTACTCCAGCTATTGTATAAATAAAAAATAAATCTTTAAAAAAAAAAAGATTATGTTACCAGCATGTCTGTGGAGCCAAACGAGGGCAAAGTTCTAAAGTGCTAAAGTGATAGTTTGTGTCAGTCACAACTTTAAAACACCCATTTCCCTTTTGAGGAGTGTTCGTTTAGGCCAGTTGTTCTAACATAGTTATCTCCTTTCACTCTTCAGGATCATGGGGCTCTCCCCTGCCAGGTATTCCCTTTCACTCTTAAAAGCTTCCTGGTTTGGGTGATGTGACACTGTCACCTCACCCTCAGTTACAGCTCACCAGGCCCTGCCACTCCAAGGCGCCCAGGGTCCTCCCAACAGAGCTCCTCATCCAGACTCCCCCACCACAATACTTCAGGGTCAACGAACCCAACACGCAGCCCCAGTGACTGAAATGTGTGCACGTGAGCACAGCCTTTTGTAGACGGTCGTTCTATCCACAGAAGTGCAACTTGTCAGCTCGTCCGGGCCTGTGTCTGGCCTAGCGGGGCAGATGCCTCTATGGGAGCTGCCCTTCAGGGTTCTCTCCACACACCACTGAGGCAGGCGCGGCAGGCATATAGTAGAGGGACTCACGACGCTGGAGCGGGCCAACTGGACACCCTCCGGTTAAAATCCTTTAACACCCACCTCTGGTTAAAATCCTTTCTTTCTGAGCCCCCAAAGGGGCACCAAGCAAAGCCAGTTCCTGGTGGTTCTTGCTGAAGACGGTGCTGCACTTTTCACAGAGCCAGCCAAAGGCAGGTGTATAGATGAATAAAAAGAAACTTTATTCTAATAGAGTATGGAACGTTCTTGAAGTAAGAATTACTCTTATCTGACCAAAATAGATTTCTTACACTTTGAACATCTAACAGGTTATTTTCTGTACAATTATATAAATATTTTCATATTCACATAAACATGCTTATGGTCCTAAAAGCTTCTTGAAAAATCAATACAATTAGATTCTTTAGACAATGATTAGCCTCGTTAGAAAACAAGGAACATTCCCGAGACATCTGAGAATAAAGAGCAGACAACAGGACAGGGAGCAGAAAGGGCAGGAGAGGGAAAAGGAGATTGAAAGCAATAACACACAAACCCCTGCACTTGAGTTTTACCAGATGAGTAAGACCCAGCAAAAACTAAACTATATGCAAAAATGGAAACAAATCAGCTAGGGGGAAGGTGAGATGACTGGCTGGTCAAGTTTCACTGTCAGTGAAACTTGGATGACTCTGTCCTGGCAGATGTGTCCTTCTAGGAGCAGGGGTCTTTCTCTTGTTTTTTCTTATCAAGCAAACTGCTATTCGAGGTGGCAGCAGAGATAGAGAAAAGACTACAAAGCCCACAGCCATAGATTCTGAGCCTTGTTCTGGCATGCGCAGTGGCTGTGTGACCTAGGCAGGACCCGAGCCTGTGTCACTGCCTGCTGAACAAGGACAGTAATGTCTACTTTGCTGGTTTGCTGGGAGGAGTAGTGGCAACTTACAGAAAGTGCTGACAATGTCCCTGGAAAATAACTGATAATAGATAACTAAGATTATTTTGTATGTGTGACTTTACCCAAGAATTTATTCAGATTCTATAGTCTACTCACTGTGGTCTGTCAATTACTACTGATTTCCGAGTCTAAAACTGGCCCAGTCCAGCCCCTCCAATGCCAATCACAATGAAAATTAGAAATAGACTTTCCTTTAGGACACTGTGGCTGCTCCTCTTCTAAGACGCCAGCTCAGTATGAAGATGTGGAGGTTCCCAGAGGGGCCTGTGATTCGGGTACCATTGTCCCCCTGGAGTGGCACCATACAAGGGGCACCACTGGACTCTACAAGGTGACAGTCACACAACAGACCATGTGATCTAAGCTCCTAGAGCCACATGGAGGCTCCTGCATCACACGCCTTCCCCAAGGGGCACCTGTTTCAAGCACCACAGGCCTCCTGGGCCCAAGCACTTGGACCCACAGGAGGCCAGATTCTGGACTCTCAAGTCTCAGGTTCTGAGATGCTCACTCCAAGTGGGCAGCGTGAAGGAGCAGCAGCCCTCCATTCTGTGCAGTAAGCAGCTATGCCTCACGGAGAAGGGAGAAGTGGCACATAAGCAAGAACACTCATCAACTGGGAGAGCAGCGTGGCAAGGTCTGTGGCTGGGTGTGTGAGTGAGCAGATTCAGACAGCAGCACACACACGAGCGCCCTGGGAGAAGGGCCTCAGAAAGCAGCAGGGACATGAGGCATCAGTCCTGCCCTCAAAGACGACAGGGATCCCCAGTATCACGGACACAAAAGGAAGAGATTGTGCCCGCAGAAAACAACAGGTGCACTTGAGGTAAACCGTGGTCTCAGATACGTAATGCATATGGGCATCATCAGAAAGAGCCCAACACTGAGCCCAACACTGAGGTTTCTTTGATGAGTTCTATAGAAAGGCCCAGTGAAGTTTTTGGTCCCGATGAGATTTTCATTTCACATGTAATCACCCCTAATACTAAAGCAGAGGTCTGTGAGGAGGGTTGACTCCTCTCCTCTTCCATAGTCCATCAAGGCTTCCAACAAGCTCATGCCAATGGCACAAGAGGGCCAGGATGTCTGATGCTGGTGCCAAAAGGTATCCGAGCAGGGAGGTCTCACCCAGGAGCCACATCTGGATGAGGCCAGGCACTGCAGAGGGATGACCGGGAATAGCCAGGGAGTGGAGTCCTGGCTGAAGAGGGACTCTGCCCACCTTCAGGCTGCTCACTGGGATTGCACTTGCATGGCGTGAACATCATCCATGGGGAGGGCCTGGCTGCTGCTCAGCTAGGAGAAGCCTGCATCTGCCTGGGGTTTCAGATGCACTGCTCCTCATCCCTGTCATTCAGCAGCAGAGACCACTTGTCCCCACTATCATCAGCCATGGTGGTGTGCCGAGACAGTTTGTCAGACCTCAGGGAAGACAGTGACACCTGGCTGATGTAGCTGACCTGGTCCCAGGCCGTGGCCCCAGGGGAGTCCCGGCGCCGGTCATCCATGCCAATGTGCACGCTGACCTGGGATGCAGTCAGGGGCTTCATGCGGCCGTGGGCCTGGGCCTCATACCTCTCCTGGTCAGGCTTCCTGTAGCTGGAAAGCAAGAATCCAAGAGCATGTAAGCCATTCTAAACACACAGGCTTTTGGAAAGTCTAAAGAAGGCCTCTCAGCCAATTCTTTCGATAACATCCCGTATCAAACCTCATGGGTTTTAAAGGAAAAAATACTGGACTCCTCAGGTTCAGCTCTAAGTTACACAATTCAGAAATTTCTGTCCAAATGCCTGACATTTACTTTGGTTAAATGAAAGCATGAATAAACAAACGTCTTTTTTGAATGTGTATATAGGAGTAGTAACACACAGTGTAACTGGAACAACGAAGCACGTGAGGACCATTCAGCGGAAAATGATTTGCTGATCCATCATTATACAAACACACACCTGGCTCCACTTGGGCTGCGCCAGTCTGTGCCTCAGGTAGATACGCCGGGAACCTGAGCCCAGCACACACTCACTGCCAACCCGGAGCCCAGACCTGCCTGTGCATGCAGACTGAAAGGCCTCCTCCCCTGGGGCCACCGCCACCACACGGGGACTCACCACTTGAGCTGCAGCGATGAGAGGACCACAGACACAGAGGAGGCCGCCATGGCCGCTGAGCCCATCCACGGCTGCAGCACGATACCAATGGGCATGAAGACACCTGGCCGAGGGGAGGAAAACACTCACACCCAGCCCAGAGGAGAGGGCAAGGAACAGGCCCCCCTTAGCTGCTCACCGTGGCGCTCCCCCTCAGGTGGCTAAGAAAGCCCTGCTGCTGTGTGGCAACCATGTGCTTGCAGTCTCTGAACTGGACGGTCTCAGAGCTGGGCAGCTGGGCAGCAGGGCTGCCGTCAAGGGGTCTGGGGCTTCTCACCCTCACTCTCAGGAGGAACTCCAGGGGAGCTGGGAATCTCAGGGTCCCCAAGGTGCAGTGTGGGGCAGTGGCAGGGCAGGGGGAGCCGGAGGGAAAGAAGCAAAAGGCATAGGGAACCTGCTGTGCTGAGGCACCTCAGGCCCATCAACGACACACTGTTAATGACAACAGGCCCTGTCTCTATGACCGTCTCCCTCAGGGCTTCAGAGCACCTTTCCAAAGGGCAGAGAGCCACTCAGCACAGCAGGGGGAGCTGAAGTGGGAGAGTCATGTTTAAAATCTTTAGGTCTCAGGCCCTATAGAAGCTATTCCTTGCAAAAGTGTCTGGATTTTTCCCTATCTTGTGACACAAGATTCAACAGGGGAGAGAGCTGTCACACAGCAGACCCATCTGTGTCCATGATCATTTCTGAGAGTCAGGGCAAAAGCCTGGCTGTCTTAATTCTTAAAGTGAGGCTCTGAAACACTAATCACTGTGCCTACTGTGTAGCAGGTAGTTTATACTGTTAATAATGGTTAATTTTTAGACTGTGAGCCTTAATAAATGGTTCAGAACACAGGGCCACAGTAAGTTAACAGTCAAGCATCTTGGCCTGATTGTCAGAGAACTAGAGGGAATGATGGCTGGGTTGTCTCTGTGACTTCTCATTTACCTTAAGAGACTGGCAGAGGTGAACACATAACAAATGAACCCATCTTAAAGTGTCTCTGGTCAGTCAGCCCGTGAGGTGGGCTAGTCAGTAAGTTGGGCAGGAACCAGGCAGACAGCTAGAAGCAAAGGTAAGAGAGCAGGTAAGAGCCGCCCTACCTGCCGCAATGGGTATCCCCACCAGGTTGTAGATCAGCGCCAGGACCAGGTTGAGGCGGATCCTCCAGACGGTCCTCTTGGAGAGGTGAATGCTCGCCACCACGTCGAGCAGATCATTCTGCAAGACAGGACAAGTGAGGAGTTCTGTCCACGCCCTTGCGCTCCCTAACCTGGCCCACAGGGGAGGATGACCAAGGGCCGTGCTCACTCTGATGAGGACGACATCAGCTGCCTCGATGGCGACATCTGTGCCTGTCCCGATGGCAATGCCCACGTCGGCCCGGGCTAAGGCCGGGGAGTCGTTGACTCCGTCTCCCACCATGGCGACTTTCTTCCCTGCGTTCTGCAGTTCCTGGACCTTGGCCACCTTGTGAGAAGGCAGCACCTCTGCAAAGACTTTGTTGATGCCAACCTAAAAGGAAAGGAAAACAGCATCCCAAATAAATAAATGCATGACCACGCCCAGTATCAGCCAAGGACAGTGAATGGCTGACTGCGAGTCACCTTTCTCCCCTCCCCTCAGCCTCCAGGTCCAGTCAGTGATGGCAAATTCCAGGTCACATGGCCAATCCACTTTGCCCCATCCCATGGTCCTGCAGAGGTTTAGGCTCCTGCTACATCCAACCTCCCCAACTTTCTTCTCCATGTGTCATCCAGTGGTCTTTCCAAAGCACTAATCATCTCATCATGGTACTCTCTTGCAGTCCTCCAAAATGGACCCCACTTCACTTAGTACAACATCCTGACTTTTCGTCTGCTTCTTGAGGTCCCTCTAGCCCTTGCTCCTGCCATCTCCAGCTCCCACACTCAGCTCCCTGCACTCCCTGACTCACTGTTCCCCAAACCTCCCAGGCAGCCTGGCACTGCTACTCTGTCCTGGAAACATGGAATCTCCTCTCTCTATCCCTCCCCTGCTTTTTTCCTCTCACCACTCCTGACTCAAGCACCATCTCCCAGGGAAGGCCTGGGACAGACTCTGATAGACCCTGTCAGGCCAGGAGCATGTTATGGGCTCCCACATGTTCCCTGCATGCTTCTGCTGTAGCTGCAAGCACATCATTTCTACTCTCCCACTGGTCTAGCCTTCCTGCAGGATCATGAGCCTCTCAAGGGTAGGTGTCCTCTCCACTCCTTTCTGTAGCCTGTTGCATGGGCTGTGCTTATAGAAGTACTAGCTGATGATGCACAAGTTTTACCCAGGAAGAGGGTACTCAACAAGTCCAGTATTAGCAAGGAAGGCCTTGCAGAGAGAGGTAATGCTGCTTTCCGCATAAGAAAGCATTTCAGGGCCTCCCCAGTGGCGCAGCAGTTGAGCGCTGGACTGCGAAGCTGCCCACAGCCTCTGCAGTGCCGGTTCGATCCCCTGCCGCCGGCGAGGGTCCCACATGGCGAGCAGACCTCTCCTGCTGTGCCTGTTGCTCCCCTCAGCAGTGTATTCTTTTGTCAGTCTGCCTGTTCTGCTCCCCGCTCTGGCTCTGGTGAATTCTCTCACCCTCCCGTGCTTCTGACTGTACCCAGAGCTTGTATAAATAAATAAATAAATAAATCTTAAAAAAAAAAAACATAGCATTTCATTTTCAAAAGCAGACTCTTATCCACACATTTTTTTGGTGGAGGGAGGTCTATAATTTTCAGGAATTCACAGTTGAGCCATTGCCACATGAGGAATCAGGTAAGCATGTGGCAAGGTTGTCCTCACAGCCCAAACTTAGACTCCAGGGACTGAGGTGCTTTGCGTAGGACCCAGGCATTTTTCTGGCACACCAAATGAGGAGGGCTGAGCTGGCAAAATATCCCTTTAACAAAAAGCTATGGGGTTATTTCAACCCTCAGGCCATAATTCTCCCCCTACCCCACCCCCATTGCAAAGACTGGAAAATAGAGAATGCTGGAATAGCTTCTTCCATAGCTGCAATCTGTCATGCATGAATCACAGCATCCAGGGACCAGGACATGATCTTGCAGCAACAGCACAGTGATCTTGGGTGCTACACAGCCAGGAGAAGAATAAAGCTCATGCAGAGAAAAACACCGGTGAAGGGAAGACCAGAAGCAAAGCTGAGCACTAGAGGCACTGGGGCCTTTTTTTTTTGTTACCCCCAGACAACTACTTCTGTGAGCTTAAAGTCCCTTGCAGATGTCCCCAGCTCCCGGCACCGGGCCCACACCTGTGTGGCAATGGCTCTGGCTGTCTTCCGGTTGTCCCCCGTGATAAGAACCACATCCACACCCATGCTCTTCAGCGTGTGCACAGCCAGGGCAGCTTCCGGTTTGACAGCATCTGAGATGGCGATCATGGCACAGAGCACACCTGAAGGAAGCAGCACAGGTAAGGGCACACCAGCGCAGCACCGGGCAGCCCGGGGGAAAGCAGATTGAATGACTGGGAACAGTTCTTATAATATCCTGTTTCAAGCAAAAAAAAACCCTGAAGGCCAAATTAGGATAATGGCTGACTTCATTTTCTTCTTTAGAGGTCTTGGAATTTTCCAAATTTTCTACAAGGAAAGTCTATTACTTTACAGAGTACCTGACTCACAATAATAATATAAGTTAGCTATTAAAGTAGGATAAACAACAACGTAACTTTGAAAAGTGACAACTGTCCAAATAGCTAGAAAATCAATCCTTTTTGTCTCTTCCTACTGAAAAATTTTTGTGGAATTTTTTTTTCAGGAATGTCTAGATACTGAAGCAGGAGGCCGTGGAGGCATGACGAGAACAGAGAGGTGAGGGAAGTACAAGCGCCTTCGGTTCCGCCAATCCTGATCTGATGAGCTGAGGGGACTGCGGGTTCACAAGAATGTAGATTTGGTGGTAGGAAGAAGAAATGAAGAGAATGGGGGAACAGGATGTATTTGGCAGGAACATTCAAAACAGAGCGACATAAATTATGATTTCTGATTTGCCCAGTTGTACATGAGGTGGCAGAAAACAACAACTAAGCAAGATTCTAAAGTAAATTTTTATCTCCCTGCGATGGAAGGCCCGAGAGATAATCCGAGTACTGAGACACATCATCTCGAGCAGCAACGCGTACACCCAGTTCTATAAACCAGTGAAAAGTTGCAGATCTCATTAAAGGCAGTCTATTAGGTTGCTGGAAAAGTGATGATGCATTTTTTCATAGAAAACTGAAAAAAGACATGATTTTTCCGACAACCCAAGATGATTAAACCTCTCAGAAGGTGACTTGCTGTTTTGTCTGCAGTGCTGGAGAAGGATGACTCTGAACCGCCCACTTACACAGAAGCAAATGATGATGGTGAGGACAATTCCCAGAGCAAGGATTCAAGGACAGAGCTGGCTCCTGGGTGATGATGGAGATAACAAGAAAGGGGCCCAGGACCGAGAATGAAGTGAAACGGAGGGCAAGGCAACCTTTTAGAAATAGAACTAAATTTAGCAGAGAGGAAGAATTTTTTTTAAGGGAAGAATCTATTTTTGCCTGACATTTCTAACAAACTTCATTTTTTGAGAGCAAAGAAAGGCGTGAGCAAAGCGATACCATCAATAGCCACCAGGATGGCCGTCTGGCCTTTCATCTCGTGATCGGCCATAGTGTCGCTGATGTCGCTAGAAATGGTTAAGCCATTGCGCCTCATCCATTCGCGGTTTCCAATCAGCACGGAGAAGGTATGGGGGGCCACATCTGTTTAAAAGAGTATGTGGTTATTCCCAAGTTGTCCAATTTCACTCTGAGAAAGAATTAAAAAACAAACATGGGATTCTTTTAAGAGCAAAACCCTCATTTAACCCTTCTGAAAAACCAAAACCTAGTAAATGCCTCTCAGAACCCCATCCTTAAAGGACCAGGAAAAACAGTATAACTAATATGTAGTGAATTAAAATGGGGCATTAAAAGATAATTATGCTGTATGTGTGAATATGTTATAACGTAAGAAACATGATACAGTTCCTTATTTGCCTTTCAACGTACCTGATGAATTTTTTTCTACAGGGATTAGAAGCAGTCAGTTATCTGTCTAGCACCAAATGCTGACTAGATTAATCACTGCTTGGTATAGGTGACCAAGGTGAATCAGCAGTTAGTCTATATCTACGAAATGTCTAAAAACTATACCTCCTGAAAGGCCAGTCTTCACCCGTCACCTTCTGACTGTGTGTGCTACTAACGTAGACTGTCACTCACAGACCAACCCGTAGATGCTAAGCGAAAGGCCGGACAGTAGATTTACATCACTACAGGGTGGCAGATGGCTCCTAACAGTGCAGTCAAAATCAGAATTTAAATACCAACACATTAAAGAGAAAACACTAAACATAGGTTTTTGGGTTTGGGGCTGGGGTTCCCACACCCTTATGCTGATAGCTAGCCAGCTGTCCTTAGAAAAAGAAAGGCCCTTATTCAGAAACAGCTGTCAGCCCACCCAGCGGCCGTTCTTGGCTTGGGCACACCATTTCCATCTGCTGTGCCCGACTGCTGCCAGCTCTGTGCATACTATGCAGCCATCAGAAATCCACCACATGGAAGCTTTCCTGTTTAGGAAGAACAAAAGTAGAATTTCCATCTGTCTACTTTGTAGCTTATGAGAAGTAAAACTAACTTGGAATAAGAAAGAGGGGACTCAAGATTATGAAGTAGAGAAGCAATACTCTATGAATTTAAATAACATGCTACTTTTGTCTGCTGTTAGTGTCAAAATTGAGATGCATCAAAGAGAGAAACTGCAGGTTTTCCAGGGAAGACAGGCATGTAGGGCACCTGCCGTGAGCCACCCTTGTCCACAGCAGGGACACACAGACGGTACTCCCTGTGGAGCACCGTTTGGCACACCACCATCTGAGTCAGCCCAGCCCAGCTCCTGCAGCCACAGACACAAAGGCCAGGGCACCTGTTTCCGCAGGAACACTGCCAACCCCGTTCAGGTGAGTGGGCCGCTCGCCCAGCGGGTGCTCGCTGTGGGCCAGGATGCCTTCCACGCTGCTAACTTTACAGCCAATTCCACAGCCTGGCACTGACTGGAAATCTGTGCAGTATCCCAAAGTCTCTGTCCCGAGTTCCTGTGAAGGAAGCAAGGAGGGTAAAAGACCAGAAAGCAGGAAAGTGAGCTGAGGGAGAGTTGGGAGGGGACAGCACCTACCAGAATTAAGAGGGAAGCAGAACTGCTGCAGGGAAAGGTGAAGAGACTATTAACTCAGGAATAGAGACATTACAATATTAAATTAAACAGCCTAAACTCTCTCCTTGGTGGATGCTTTGTGACAATGTACAGTTGCAGGCCAGAAAGAAGAAAGGCACTTCACCTTCAGTTATGAGTGTGCAGGTATCAAAGAGGAGAGATATTTTTGTGCTGGAAACAGTTTCATGAAAACAATGGGATAGATGAGTGGTAAGAAAGCTCCTCTGAGATAACTACCATTCACGAGACCCAGGGAGGAGTGGTGACAGGCAGAAGAAACATGTGAGGGCTGTTCTTACTTGGGTTAACAAAACAGCAAGGGAGGATAACTGCGGGTGAAGGTAATTCTTCCTGAAACATCAGCAGGGTGAGATGTGGAATGACAGGCTGTCTGACCTTACACGAGACAGAACATGAAATGAGATTTCTGTAAGAGTCCTATCCAAGGAGAGTTGTCAATTTTTTTTTCCTCCAAGCATCCATGACACCTTTCTACATTTATTGATAATTTTTTTATTTATTCAGGTCATTTAAAATTTTGGGGGGGGCAATATTGTGGCACATCATGTTACCTCAAAATTCAGATTGAAAATAGAAAACTAATAGGCCCTTCTATGGGGGAGAGATCAAAGAAATAATGCTTCCTCATTAACTGTGCCAAGACTCCCCTGGCCCCTGAGCTCACTTCTGCTGCTTTCTCTCCATCTCATGTGCTCCCAGTTGAGTGGATTCACCCTCCCGCACTCCTAGTATCCCATTCATTTTTGTATCCCTTTGCACTAACTGCACATAAAGGTCTGAATTTATGCTCTGTCTCCCCCCACTGACCGCCTGCTCCCAAAGGGCACAATTCACATCTTACTAGTTTTTGATGTCCCAAGCACAGATGCTCAGTAAATGCTCAAGAAGACTGTTAACACTGAACTGCTCTTGTGATGATCTGGAAATGTGACAAGGGACCTATCAGTGTGAGTTGTAGCTCCGCCAGCCCTAGACCACACCACCAAGGCCTCTCAAAGGCAGCTGACACAGGTGTGCCAGTGGCAGCCAGGCCAGAAGGCATGTGAGAAGGAAGGAGCGGGGAAGCTTCTAACCTACCAGGGAGCAGGGCAGAAGAGCAAGCCAGGGAGGAGGTCTGAAGATTGAGGGAATGAGCATGCCAACTCTACATACCTCTTTACAGTATTTGGTGACTGCAACACCCAAGGGGTGCTCACTGCTAGCTTCAGCCGTCCCCACTACAGCAAGCACCTTCCTGAGGGGCAGTGTGGCCATGTCCACAAGCAGGAGGACCCGCATGACTCTGGGGACCCCATGGGTAATGGTGCCAGTTTTGTCAAACATCACCGTCTTTATCTGCCAAAACAACAACATCTTGGTCACTGCAAATACAAATGAAAGGGGCTATGAGAGTGCACCAATCTGGAGACAGGACTTCATTCAATCCACCTCAAGCAGACAATACTCCTTGACAGCTCAATAACGTAATCCTCTGCAATTAACCCTGGGTCCAACCACATCTATGCAAAGACATTGCTTCCCTCTTTGCTCAAAGAAAGTCCATACTGTGCTTAACCTTCATCAGGTTGGACCAGAAACTCCCACTTTGATGTAAAAAAGATTGCATGGTATGTCTCCCAGACAGCAACATGGAACAGATTTCTCCTTGTGTCAGTCAGAACCACAGCCAGAAGAGTCTGCCCATCTTCCTGCCTGCTGATGTCTGGACAGCCAACCACCGCTTTATCTGGCCTGCACAGTGCAAAGCCTATTGAGAATAAAATTCTTAAACTCTAAGTTCAAGGAAGACAGGAAGTTTCCTTGGCCATATTAACAAGTAACCACCATCAACCCCACTTAGCTAATGCAGCCCTGAACAATCCCCACCCATCTATGCTCAGCCAGAGGGCCAGGCCAGCACTAAGCCCCCCTGCTTCTGAAAGTCCACCAGTCTCTGAACCCCATACTTCTACGAAGTCAGCTACTTGCTGGGTTCACACTATCTCACCAGCACAGTTCACCTTATTTAGCAAACAACAGTTTTTTGTTTCCAACGCTAAGCAGTGGACTCTTTGACATACAAAGTGGTCTTCCTCCAACAATTCTTCTTTCTTTTTAGTCCAGCCCTCACGCTGCAGCCAGAATGATGTTCCCAACAAATAACCTAGTTATGTAGACACTTTACACCCTCTGTGGCTCCTTGTTGTTCTGGGTTAAGTTCTGCATCTTTTGTAAAACCTTGAAGGCACACCTTTCCCTTCCATCCTGTCCTCAAGATTCATCTGTCAATTTCTGTATGACTTTCTTTTGGTATCTCATTTATCTATTCAGCAAATAACTGTTGAGTGCTGGCACTGGGAAAGATGCTGGGGATGAACCAGTGAGGAACAAGTTCATGGTCCCCCATTGGAGGAGTCTAGGATGAGGCATGCAGCATATCTCCCCAGGCTGTTCCCATCACCAGAGCTCTCTCCCCAAACTCTGGACTGGCCAGCTCTTGCTCAGTTGTTAGGTCTCAAATTAGCCTTTAATTTTCTCCCCTCATCTCCAGTCCAACACAGACAAGTCTAGGTTAGGCCCTGGTAAACCGCACAACCCACACTCTCATAGTACTGGTTAATTATTGACTGTTTTCTGTCCTGCTCACTAAATCATAAGCACCTTGACAGTCAAGGACTGTGACCATTGCCAGGGTCTAGCAAGGACTCACCCATAGTAAATGATCAACAAATTCTCTAAATAAATGGAAAGGTGAAAGGTCAGGGATTGGTACGTTGGATCAAAGGAAGACCCTTCACTAGCAATGTTTCTCACTATTCTACTCCCCAAAGTCACAGGACCCCTCTGATAATCACATGAACACAGAGTCAGTTTTTTTCTCTGGAGCTTGACTACATAGGCATGGAGTCTGGCTTCTCAGCTGCAGACAAGTTACCTTGCCTCTTTCTACTACAGTTCCCTTATCAGTAAAATAAGAGTAACAAGCATCCACCTCAAAGAGTTGTTGATAACACCTAACCAATTAATAAACCATTTAATTCTGTAACTATTAAGTGTTGCTGCTGCTATCATCACTATCAGTCCAAGTTTTTTGTTTTACTCACTTCACAATGTTATCTAGAGCCTCTTTCAGGTTTTTCTCTTAATACCAAGCTGAAACTTTTTCCATTAGATACTTTTTCCATTAGAACTCTCCAAGTTTAAAAAAAGTAATAACCAGGTAGTACATATAGCTATAAAATCATCCCAGCTGAGACCCATGAGTCAGCAAGGAGCACAGAACCAACCTTGTGGGCCATCTCCAGGGGCTTGCCTCCCTTGATGAGGATGCCATTTTGGGCGGCCACCCCAGTGCCCACCATGACTGCCGTGGGTGTGGCCAAGCCCAGAGAGCAGGGGCAGGCAATACACAGTACTGTGATGGACGTCTGGAATGCAAACCGGATGATCACCTCTGCCTGGGAGATATGCTTGTTAGGGATCTGAAAAGATGAAAGAGACAGAGGCAGGTGTAGTTAAATGAGAAATCGCACTGAATTCTAATCATATGAGAGTATTGCAGTGCGGGCAGCGGGACCTGAGCTGGCCTGATGAGTGGGTGTAGGAAATACAGAAGTACTCTGCTCTGCTTTGGTGATAGCACATGGTTCACTCCCCTCGTGCCTACTGCAGTTTTCCAACCTGATCCTACTGGCTTTATTCAGAGAAAGGCATTATGAGCACAGAGTCACGTAAAAATCATTGATAGCGGAAAGAGCATAGACTCTAGAACTGGACCACAGAGGTCCATATCCTGGCTCTGACATTAATGTAGCTTCTCTGTGTCTGTTTCCTCACCTAAAAATAGAAATAATGCTATCCATCTCACAGGCTATTGTAAAAAATAATGAGATAATACACATACAAACACAGAGATATATTTAATACAACACCTGGAATAGGAAAGGAGTCTAAGAAATTGTAATGATAGGATTATCGTTATTTATTAGTCATTAGTATAAAGCATTTAAAAAATGATAGGTCTCCAAAGAAATCAAGGAATAATCACACAGTTGGGAAAAGAAATGAAGATATTTATCACAGTGTTCTTTGTAATGATAAAAAACTGGAAACATGCAATAGGGAACTAGTTCATTAAATTATGAGTATGGTATGCAAAATGGAATGTTCAACTGCTGTCTATCTATACTAATTGACATGGGAAGATGCTAACATCACTGATAAAAGAAAGTACAAAATGGCATGTGCTACGATTTAATAAGTACAAAATTAACTGCTTTATCGGCATATGGTCTCGGAACAACACTAGAAAGATGTTCACCAAAGTGGAAAGAACAGTTACTTCTGGGTATGAGATTTGGAACCATCTTTATTTTCCTCTGTTTTTCACTATTATTTTCTTTGTAAACCCCAAACAAAGAAAATATGTGTCTTCTCTGCAGTTTCCTGGGGACATCTATTGGTATTAATTATTTGATTCTGAGAAGTTATCTTGGTTTAATTTTCAAAATGGCTGATGACTCTGGTATACAATCAAGAAATCCTACATTCACTTAATTATAGTAAAAAGCATAGTTTCTAAATCAAGGATATAGAACACAATCTCTTTAACTACACTTTATTCTTTGATTTTAAGTTTCTAAAGTAGCAATTTTAAAACAAGATAAATTCTTAAAGTCATTGGATTGTCATAGGAACAGTAGGATTTAGGTAGAGGGACATGTTGTTTAACATGCAATTTTTAGAGATAAAGATGGTGTGTGTGTGTGTTTTTAAAACCCAGTGAAATTCTTGTCAAAATAAAACCTGACATTCAGATGAGTCTGGGTGGACTCCTAGAAGTTAACATGAACGTGGTGCCTACAAATGATTTTATATAGCAGAGTGATGAAAATATCTTAAAGGAACATGCAGTACCTCATTTGCCAGCATCCTCCCTGATATTGCAGATAAAAACAAACAAACAAAAAAAGCCAAAGTAAGATGAAAAGGCAGGGAACAGCAAAAAGCGACACATTCTTATTTAGGACTGAGTCTTCTCACAGCTACAGGCCAATGAGCTGTTCTACCACAAAAGCAGAAATTTCAGGCAGTGGTCTTAATGGCCACTGGCAAATTCTAGGGATACTGTTAGGGGTTACTCTTAAAAGCACTGAGGTCTCCTTAAATATCAGAAAGTATTTAACATGGACATTTTTCATTTTAAAATAAGGAATTTGAGGGAGAAACTGACATCAAAAAATGACATCTTATTAAATGAGGCGCACCCTAAGACTATATAATTTTAATTATGGGTAGAGTATTTTTTTCAAGAAAAAAATGATACAGTCCCTATTTACAGTTTCTTACTCTATGACTCTATGGTAAAATAAGGTAAAACATAGTTCCATTCACCAGTAATCAAATACTGCCTTAGTAGGCACTTAGCTTTTTAGGTAAATCAAGGTTTTTCAACCTCAGGTCTATTGACAGTTAGTGCCAGATCATTCTTTGTTGTGGGGGTGTGTCTTACAAGTTGTGGGATGTTTACAGCATCCCTGGCCTCTACCCTCTAGATGCCAATATCTTTTATATTTCCTAAGATAGTATTCTTCATCCACCTTTTATACTCAAACATGTCTAATCCATTGCCTCATATATAATATTTAAACATATTTAATTATTAAAAAGCTATTAGCAGTGCCTAGGAAGCTATGAGATTGAAGATAGTATTGATGGGCATAGAGAACAAAATACATATTTTCCTTAAAATCTGTTAAATAATATTATCATGCCATTGAAACTGTGTGAAGTGACCTTTTTTGTGTGCACCTTAGTCTCAAAAATGGCCAAAACTACGTAGTGTAAATGTTTTCCTCATTACAACTGAAAGTCGATTGCAAATGAGGGTCTGAAATTATCTAACTGGAAAGTAAAAGTACAGTGACTGATTGTCCTACCCTAGCTAAGGTTTTGCTGCCAATAAGCAAAACAAGTAAATAAAATGTAATGGGTAATTAAAGTCCAATGAATCTAAGACATGAAAGAATAGGATTAATGGCAATACATTATTTATTAACACAATAACTATACTGCCCAAAGCATTCAACTTACAGGAAAGTATTTCCGAACAACATCAAAATCGATAAAGCCGATTATAATCCATACCACCAATGTCAAAGTTGAAATGATGATGATAAATGGGACAAAATATCCACTAAACCGGTCAGCCAGTTGCTGAATAGGTGCCTATGGAAATAAAACACCAAGAGAAAGGGAAGTTATAATCTACAAGGAAACAAACACCACAAGTACGGAATTCTTATTTCCCTTATTAACAACATTGACAAGTTAATCTCACCTCAATAAAGTCTGCCTGATTCTACAGAACTCTTGGAATTATTTCTAAAATGAGGACATGAAGTTGTATTATTTTTTAAATTTCTTCATTACCTTTGACATCTGAGCCTCTTCCACCAGTTTCACAATCTGAGCCAAAGTGGTATCATTGCCCACATGGGTGGCATTAATGAGCACAGAGCCATGTGCATTTATGGACCCTGCAATGACTGTGCTCCCGGGCTTCTTAGTGACGGGCATGGCTTCTCCTAGAGAACAGAGACCAACCACCACATATCAAGTCCAGTCAGCATTCATGTGACCTGATAACTGCTGAGACACCCACCAGAAGGGAATGCAAAATGAGTCACCTAACCTGTGATGAGGGACTCATCAGCCATAGTGTTGCCTTCCAGCACTTTCCCATCCACTGGAAACTTTCCCCCAGGGACAACTTTGATGATATCACCCCGCTGCACCAGTTCCATGGGCACTTGCTCCTCTCTGCAAAAAAATACCACTCAAGTTACTCACAGGAGCTCACCCTCCTGGTCTGTCCCCCACATCAGGTTCTAGACAAACTGTTGGACTACTGAGACTATACTTGTTTTACACCAACCAGCAGTATTTGTCTCATGCATTCAGTTACAGACTGAGTCAATATTCACTTTGCAGCTACTGTACTAGGCACTGGGGACATAGCTGTGAGTAGGACAACAAAGAACCAATCCTCATGAAGTCAAGTTCCGTGAAGGAAACTGACAATAAACAAGATGGTTCCAGGTATCAAGTAAAGTCCACGATGAAAATAAACAGGATGACATCACCGGAGGGCTTCTTTATGTGGTGGGGAGGAAGAGAGAATTGGGAAAGGCCTCTCTCAGGACATGACATTTGAACTGAGACCTGGGTGACAACAGAATTCAACGTGTGGGGGAAAGAAAACTCAAGAGAGAAAACAGGCTCTGGGGAAACAGGCCCTAATGCAAAGGCCCTGGGGCAGGCAGGAAAGATGCCTTTGAGAAACAGAAAGAAGCAGAAAGGGTCTGACCATGTCAGATCTTGCAGAACAGAGAGGGGGCTTTGGGTGGACGGTGTTTGGTAGGAAAGTGATACTAACTGATTCATATTTTCAAGTCATCCCCTAGCTCTTGCAGGAGAATAGGCTGTAGGGGCAATAATAAAAGCTGAGAAGAGTCAGGCTATTGTGGCAGTCCAAGACAGAGGAGGCGATGGCGTGTCAGGTAGGGAGTTGAAAAGATGAGACTGGCAAGTGAGGAGGTCAGAGACAGAGAGACACATCTGAAAGTTGTCACATATAGATGGTGTGAGCTTACCTAGGAGTATAACTGGAAAAGAGGAGCCCCAGCACTAAGCCCCGGAACACTTTAAGATTTGGAGGTTAAGCAGGCGGGAGGACAAGTCACTGACGCAGGAGGGAAAGGGGATGATGTGCCATCAAATGAACCAAATGCCACAGACACTGCCACACAGATGCACACACATGTGAAACCCATCACGCTCTACACTTAGGATTTGTCTACTTCAGTGAATGTGCATATGTTAATAAAAAAGAAAAAGAAAAGACTTTAAGAGAGAGAGAAAAAGGAAAAATGTTGATGAGAGGCTGCCATGAAGATTAAAAAAAAAACAATGGTCAGATTTATTTGATGTATTTGGCAAAAGCAATGTCAAAAATTCATGGAGGCTTGGGCCTCCCTGGTGACTCAAGGGGTTAAGCACCACACCATGAAACAATCCACAACCTCTGCAGCACAAGTTCGATCCCCGGCCAGCCAGAGAGAAACTCACATGGCACAGCAGATCTCTCCTGTCTTGCCCGCTGCTCCCCTCGGCAGTGTATTTCGGTCAGTCTGCCTGTTCTGTTCCCCACTGTCTCTGGTGGATCCTCTCACCCCCCACATCTCTGGCCTCTACCCCAGCTCTTGTATACATAAATAAATAAATCTTAAAAAAAAAAATTCATGGAGGCAGAGGGGAAGGAGAAAGCATCTAAGATCACTTTTTTTTTTTTAAGATATATTTATTTATGCATACAAGAACTGGGGTACAGACCAGAGGTGTAGGGGGTGAGAGGATTCACCAGAGACAGAGTGGGGAACAGAAAGGGCAGACCAACTGAAATAAACTGCCAAGGGTTACAGCAGGCGAGTCAGGAGAGATCTGAGCGCTGTATGGGTAGCTCCCTGGCCGGGGATCAAACTCATGCCGCAGCGGCTGTGGACATAGGTTGAGTCTTAACCCCTTGTGCCACAAGGGAGGCCCTAGGACCACTTTTAAAAGAAGTGCTGTGAAAGGGAAGAGGGAGCAGAGTAAGATAGGAAATTGTGAATTGTTTGCTGGAGGGATGATCCCAGAGAGACAGAGAGTAACGTATAATGGAATGAGGAGAACAGAGTGAGAAAGCAAGAGGGGGCATTAGGCTTCGAAAGCATCTCTCTAACAGCATGACACAGACCCCATTCACTTCACTACATATTTAACAGGGGCTCATGAACAAGGCAGAGGAGTCAGAGGAGCAGGCACATAGAACAGGCAGGGCTCTGGGGCTATTCAAACATCCTTTTTATTCTACAATTACATCTAAACTATCACAGAATGTACAAAAAGTCATCTTATTTGAGAAGGGAAATTAAACATTTACTGAGTACATGTACTATATAATTTTCTCTGTTTTATTTCATTGAATCTTCCCCAAGCATATGAGGTGATATGCTTGTAGGAGAGGCACAAAATCAAATACCCATGCCCATTTCTTTAAATGTTGCTGTGCATAAATATGTAAAACTTTGGAACCAGCATGTACAGACAGAGATGTTAAATATTGCATCAATATTTTCTTTTTTAAAAACTTCAGGAGCATCCTCTACATAGTAGTGAGGATTCAAGAACCTGTCTATGTACGAAGGCCGCCACCTCCCTGCAGGCTCATGTGAGCACACGCTGCTCTGGCCGATGCCAGATCCCAACACTAAGTGCCATGTGAACCAGTGAGTGTGCCAGGTGCTGGGACACAGCAGTGAGCATGACAAGATGGCCCTGACCTCAGACGCTTGGGGTCCATGTTACAGTGCTGGCCAGTCCCAGGACAGCATGTGATTTTGGGTCAAACTTGGTTCATTGCCACAGTGTCCTCCTTTCTACAATGGTGGTTTTAACTGAGATGAGGCATGTCAAATGCTCAGCAACACACACAGCTGATGTACAGGAAGTGTCCAGGGAATATGGTGGCTGCTATCACCTGATGGATATTTTCACTACCGACTCTGTAATAGGCACTGGGGTTACGAACAGGAAGAAGAGGAGCCTTCCTCTCAGGAGGTTACAGCACAGGAGCAGAAAGCAGACTGACACATGCAAGTTCAATAATGGCCAGAATAAAATAAAGGTAGTACTGAAAAAGAGAAATCTTTCAAGGGAAAGTGGGCACAGGCAGTGTCCTAGAGTGTAAGTCTGTCTGGGGCAATGTGGTAGACAAAGAGACAGGGAGATCCCGACATCTTGAAAATATTCTCTGCTTCTTTTTAAATCTCCCAGAAAGGTAGGTCTCTGCTTGACAAGAGAAGCCTGTGTCTGGGGAAGCACTTGCTCATTTCAGAAAAGAGGACTCAGAGGGCTGACAGGCGGAACCTTATCCTCCCGAACAACCTAACTACTAAGCTCTAAATGCTTGCTCATAGGGTAACACTTGGCACACTCGACTGGTGGAGTGCCTTTCTAAGAAATCTTTAGTAACGCTAATCCTGCCTAATCTAACTTTGAATCTCCCCTTTGATCTGAATTAATCACATCTTTCTCACTCTAATGAGCTTAATTTAAGGTGAATAGCACTTCATGGGAGACATGGTGGTTTGTTCTGGGGAATTCCCAGCAGCATTTCTTCTTCAGAAGCTAAATCCACCTAAAATGCCAAGTTACAGAAATACATGCCACTGAAAGACAATGTCCCCTGGTATTTCTTCAGCTTTAAGTGTTTCTACCTCACCTGTCTCCTCTTCTCTATTCTCTTCCCTCATCTAACACAAAGCAAAATAACAAAGAAAGAACATAATAGAATGGCCACTGCCTAGAAATAACTTGCAATTTTGTTTCCCCAATTATAAAAAACGTAAGACTTCAAAGTGGGAGACAGGCAGGTCTTTTAATGTTATAAACATGAGTTTATTTACACACGAGTGTAATTTATTTCTCTAACATTTGACAGTCGTACCATTCATTCCACGACAGCACCCACCTCACAGGGTAGTTACTTATCACAGTTAGGTAACTTATGTGAAGTGCTAAGCAGTGTAGGTGTCTGAGGACCACCATGTTTATGTTCCAGGTGACAGAGGGACTGAGCTCTCTGAGCACTGGGGAGCAATGAGCCAGGTAGTAGGGGGACAGGAAAGGACATGACATCCTTGCTGAGACCTGATGAACAAGGAGACAAGTGAGCTGGAAGGAAGAAAAGTATTCAGCAAGAGGAATGACATGTGTGCACAGAGGCACAGGGAGAAGAGACCCTCTTTCTGAGAAATGCCAGTAGGCAGCTGGGATTCAACAGAGGAAGGACGGGACAAGAGACACCCGGGGCAGACGCAGAATCCTGTGTGTCCTTTGAGAGAAAAACACAAGACAACAGGGAATTGCAAGAGGATTTTCAACTACAGAGTAACACAATTAGAGCTATGATTCCAAAATATCATTGGTTTGAATGTGGAAAAATATTTGGAGGGAGACAAGGCTAGAAGCAGGTCATGAGGAATCTGCTATACTTTAGGGGAAAGAGAGTGGTGGCCTGAGCAAGAGTGGGGGCCGTGGGAGGGGCACCAAGGTCATGGAGCTAGAATCAAGAGGATGGAGCCTGGGTATATGCAGGGGAGGGAAGGCAGATGCCCAGGGCTTTGCCTTGGAGTGGGCATGTGATGGGTCATCCACTGAGACAGACGGGTGCTAGGGGAAGAGAGGCAGAATATAGAAGGGCAGAAGATGGGAAGGCCACACACAGGTTGACTCTGAGACTTTGTGAGCCAACCATGAGAAAGAGTCCAACAGGCTGAGGTCTGAGGTGGGTATGAAAATCATCTCCACATTTGGGTATCTGAAGACATGGGGAAGAGATGTACCTAAGACATACCAAGACAATAGGGCCAGCCCTGAAACCCCAACAATCACACATATTTAAGGAATGAGGTGAGCGAAAAAAGTCCATGAAAAAGCCCACAGCAGTCACGAAGGAAGCAAGGGCCAGCAAAGTGAGCTCACATGCAGATGCTCCATTACCCATGACTTGAGGTGAAGAGAAAGGACAGGCGTCTCCAGCAGATAGATGGAGGGACAGGAATGAGTCTCACTGAAAGGCACAGCTGAGGAGTGAAACTTGGGAGGCCTTCAGAAAGTGCCACAGACCCCTCCACACTCGGCAGCACACCTCATGTTACAGACTGGACTCCTTGGGGGTGGAGCCAGCAGCCTTGACCTGGGAGAGAGGATATGACCAGGGCTCCTGGTCCTCCCAGAAGCCAGAGCACCTTCTCAGGAAGGTGGGGTAAAATCCCCACCCTGTTTGACAAACATAACTAATGTGCTGCAAATATACAGCCATCTGAGCCAATGTCAGAATGAACTCTGGTCTTCGGGCTCCTAGCTTAAAAATGGTAATTTCCCCATCATGACAATTAATAACCAGGCCCATAGTGTCCATAACCCCAAATCAATCACCCCCTTTGGAGAAGAAATGAATTATGACTGATGCAGCCCCACATTCCTTTAGCAATTCATCAGGTCTGTGCATCTGACAAGGTGCCTGTCTTCTTGCAGAATGCTCTGCCTTGTGGTTCACCCGATCAGAAGCACTTCTGAATGACAGAGGATAGCTGCGGCTGCCCAAGACTCTATTCAATGCTTTTATACTTCAGAAACTTGTATGTCATCAATTTATAAGGAAAAAAAAAAAGTAACCCAGATGCATAATTACAGCAGGGCCAGCAAAGCAGTTGGGGGCGTGAGCACCCACAAATGCCACCAGCTATGGCACACCGGTCCTCTGACGGAGGCAGTCAGGGGGTGGCTGGGAGGGTAGCTCTGTGTCTCCAGGGCTTCAGTCCCAACCTGTCATGGACCTGAGCAAGTTACTTCGCCTCACTGAACTTTAGATTCTTCCTAGCAAAATGGGGATTATGACAGCACCCACCTCACAGGGTAGTTATTTATCACAGCTAGGTAAGTTATGTGAAGTGCTAAGTAGTGTACCTAGTAGACAGTATTTCTCAAATCTCAGCTAACACTATGAATTTCTGAGGGTTACTTAAAAGCCAGCACCCAGGCAAAAGCTGGTGGTGTTGCGCTGCGGTGGGCCTGTGCCTCATTAACTTTATTCATTCATGTCTCACCACCGATTCATGTACTCAACAAAGTGAGCCCTCAGAGGCCATCTCTCACAACACACCCAGTGTTGCAGTGGCAACAGCGTGCAAATGGGCAAGAGATGGTAGGACAGGGTACAAGGTCTGTCTTAACAAGGGGAGCATTTGGAGTGTATGTGATACTGGAAGGTAAGAAGCAGGAGAGACAGAGCCATTGAAGATCAATGAGAAATTAACAGAGAAAGGCTCCTGAGCACAGGCCCAGGGGAGAGACAACTCTCCTACCAGGGCAGGTGGGAGAAAAAGTGCAGTGGGGAAGGTTAGCTTTGTAGGTCGAGTGACAGGAAATAGATGGATTTTCCATCCAATGGTCCCTATTTTCAATAATCAGAAGTGAGATCACAGGCTAAAGGGAAAAGTGGTGGGGCCAGAGAGAGTTCAGAAATATGAAAAAGGTCTATAAATAACCACTGCCTAGAATATGACAGGGAAATACAGAAGCCTTCATTTGTTTTTAAAAAAAAAAAAAAAAAAAGTCAACGTTATTTAAAATGCTTTAAAAGTCAGTATACGTAAGGATTAAGAATTTGGAGTCTTGAACCAACAGCCTGGATCATATCCCAATTTCACTATTTAATACCTACATGTCCTTGGACCAGTTGCTTAGCTTCTCTGAAACTCAGTTACCTCATCTGTACAATAAGGGTAATAACAAGCTCTTCTTCATCAAGTTTTTCATACCTGACTCATAGTAAATGCTATGTAAGTTCCAAAGATAATGACAATAATTATCATTAATTTATCTGTCAAGTTTATAAAGGAAAATACTACTCCCATTGTTATTCTTTGGCAATTTGAAGCCCTTATCTCCCAGCCTGTCTGAATCCCCCAAAGCTTCCAAGGAAGGCTGAGCTCATGATCCACGTTTCCATGAAGCTTCCCTCAACCACCACTAGAATTCCTCTTCTAAATTCTGAACACTCCTCATCTGTACCTCTCACTGGTCATTTGGCATACACACAGCACCCTGCACTCTCGCTTACCTCTTAGTATGTAAATGCCCTGTTCACTCAACTGGATCAAGAGGCAGGCTCTTTCAGTACATGTCTTCTTCGTCCTCCCTCACAAGGTCTAGTGTCCTGTCATGTACATGGTGGGGATCTGACACAGTACAGATTGATATAAACTGACCAAGGATTTTTGATGAGGATAACCCACCTGATGATTAAGTTGTCCTCACCAAGGGTCACAACCGTGGCTTCTGTGGCTTGGAGAGACATGAGTTTGGCAAGTGCTTCTGAGGTTTTGCTCTAAGAAAGAACCAGAATGCTAAATAAGAGCTGTCATAGTTGGTCTGTGCAAACCAGACTGACATTCACAGGCCAGGACCAGAGAAAACCCCTGCAGAAAGCAGCTGCCCCTCTAATAGCCTCACTGCATGTCAAAGGATCCCCTAGAATGTGTGTCACTCACTGTCCACTGTCATGCAGCCATGTCCTCCCCATACTGAATGTTTGAGCCACTAAGTTCTATGAATTACATTTCAGATTGGAAAAGCACTACCAAGGTGCCCACTGTTTTCTTCTAGGATCAATCCAATTTCTTTTAGGGCCTGAGTTCTTTTATAGGCTACATTTAAATACTGGGTACAAGGTAGGGTGTTAAAAATGGCATGAACTTAAAATAAAAATGTGGATTTCTAGACTAATAAGCTATGTACTCAGTTATGCTCTAAGAGATGGCGTGAACTCTGATCTGAAATCCAGGTTTCTTTCCATTGCAAAGTACACCTGAACAAAAGTTTAAATAATTAACCAGATTAGCTGGGGTTTTAGAAGTCGTCACCAATTTGGAGATTAGAGATCAGATCATCTAATTATATAGAGGTTTCACATTTCTTAAGTCTTTCTCTAGATTGTACATAATTAGTAATACTAAACATGGTGTTCAAATGAATTAAGATTTGAATTACTAAAGAAAGGACTCTTTTTAAATCTGAAGCTACAGTTACCTTTGCCACGTGTTCCAGCCAACGCCCCAGGGCAATGAACACGAAGAGCATGGGAGGCGTGTCAAAGAAGGTCACGGGGCTCCTCTCAGCCTTCTCAGCTATGGCCACCACCAGGATGATGAGGGAATATACATAGGCGATGCTTGTGGCCAGCACAATCAGCACATCCATGTTGGCTGTCCTATGTTTCAGAGATTTGTAGGCCTGGACGTAGAAGTACCACCCACCGAGGAACTGGAAGACAGGAGAAGGTGGGGGCGACTATGACAAGCAGGGTACAGACCTCCAGGAGTACCCAGAGGCCGGTGGCCCTTCAGGAGTGAGAATGCTCCAGGTTCACACACAATTCTGACATGATGTTTTCCTCTGTAATTGATATTTTTTGAAGTGTAGTTCCTGATCCTGACAACTACTGGCCACTGGATGATCAGGGCTGAACAGATGATCAAGGGCTGGGGAGACATTTAAAACCCAGAGGACAGAACCTCAATGTCCATCAATAAGATAATAGTAATCACAGGTGAATAACATGGTTCATTTACTTTGTGGTCAGGGCTAGGCAGTCCCTAAAGAGAGTGCGCTGGCACTATAAACCACTAGCACAAAAGATGTCCACAGTATAAGGTTAAGTGAAAAGCCAGTTATAAATCAGTCTATCTAGTATGGTCCCATGTCAGAAGTCTGTATCTATATTACGTGAACATGTACATACACACATAACGTGGATTTTCCCCTATATAGATGGGGATCTGGAAAAATGAACACCCAACTATTGATAATATTAAGTTAACCTGGGAGAATGAGAGACTGGGTTGGAGGCAGTGTGTGATTAGTAAAAGAATGCCTTCCCCTTTTTGCTTATATTTCAGAATAGTGTGATGTTCATTATAAATGTATACTATGTTTGCAGTAAAGAAGAATATACAGAAAGGAAAAAAAAAAACAAAATCAGCTTACAAATACTTGGCCCTAGATAGTCCTAAACTAAACATTCTAACATTAAGTTAAGAGTTTTATATTTTAAAATATACAGAGGGCACACTGCCCATCAGAAATATCACTGGTTCCTTTCATATTGCCCCCAAAGTAGAAATGAAACTAGAGGCCTGTATTTTTTTCAATTACATTTAAATTATATGTCATCCTCAGATGACATTTCTGTCATTTGATATAGGACATTAAAGAGAAGCATGAGCTCCAAAGTGGTCCAGCTGCAGTTTGTGACAACCAAGGTTAATCAAGCTAAATAGTAAGCAAACTGCAGACAAATTGGTTCCCTGATCCTTGCAGCAAGGTGGTTGCTATTCCAGGGAAAGCTGAGTACCTGCAATTAACTGTTCAGAACCTTTCTAGTGCCCCATGTGAGAGGATACCCCCCTCTGCTGGTCATAAAACAGAAAAATGCAGCAACTGACTGAGATTAAGTCAGGAGAGCTGAGAGAGAGCACCACTTCACGCAGGCTGGAGGGGTGCTTCTGGCACAAAAGGACAAGGTATGTGCTGGCCACACAGAGGCCTGGAGGGAGAGGTTTGCCCCTTTCTGATACGCACCTGGACAAAGGTACACAAAATAAAGAAGATAAGATTTAGAATGGAGAGTCCTGGAATGATGTTGTGGTCCAGGATCATAGATTCATGGGGCTGGCTGTTGGGTATCAACATATAGATCATTAAACCCATAACAGGGATGCCAAACACCAGGCTGCACAGGAAAGACTTCTTCCACCTGGAAATGAAAGCAGCAACACCAACATATTAGATACTGCCTGTCATTTGGATTACAGGTGATCTCCCTTTAAGACTTGCCTTTGTCACCTGTGTGAGACAGACCGCCAAAGACTAAAATGAAATAAAGGCTCTCTGACACCATCTGAAAATCTAAACATCACGGCAAGGATGTTGCAGAGTGGTGTCAACCCAGTACTTGCCTGCCTGTGGTTGACGTTACCTCCAACATTTAGGGGAGGCAACCGAGGCCTAGACGCTGGGACTCAAGCCCTAAAAAAGGTTTAACCTGCTCAGCCTATGACTGTCTACAGATCCTTTCACTAAATGCAATCTTATACAGACTTAAAAAATGTAGATGGGCCTCCCCGGTGGCGCAGTAGGAGGATCGAGCCTCTGCAGCACTGGATCGATTTCCACCAGCCAGGGAGGGTCCCACATGGCAAGGCAGACCTCTCCTGTCTTGCCCACTGCTCCCCTCAGCAGTGAATTTCAGCCTGCCTGTTCTGTTCCCCACTCTGTCTCTGGTGAATCCTCTCACCCTCCCGTGACTCTGGCCTGTGCCCCAGCTCTAGTATAAAAAAAAAAAAAAAAAAAAAAAAAAACCTTAAAAAAAAAGTAGGTAGAAGCAGTGTTTTATTAGTATAAACTTACTTATACATTCAATTTTAAACTATTACTTAAAATTGAGTCAGTGAATTGGGGGGCAAGGAAGTCAACTGTGGTTTCACATTAGTTTCTACCTCTATGACATCCCAACCAAGTGGTTGTGGAAGTTCTAATGTGCCTCAACTAGGGTCTGAAAACCACTCCCTGTAAGACTGAAGTCGCACACTCTCAGGCTGCTGCCCCAGGGCCTGAGTGTTAGCCCCTAACTAGCTTCCAGAGGTTTCTGCTGCAGGTGCCTCTTGTCCTCTCAATATGCCCATTACAGCAACCACATGAGCCTCTGTATGATTTCCACCCACACCTTCAGCTTGGCAGCTTCTACTTGTTCTTTGAGGCTCAACTCATGTGTCCCTGCTTGTCATTTTCTCAGTCTTCCAAGAACTCACTTGAACCACTGCTTGTCACTCTTTCTCAGTCAGAGACTAGGTCCTTCTAAGTTAGGGATGAAGTTCTATTTGTCCCCAGCGCTTGGCACAGTGCCTTTCACAGAAGAGCAGCCTCATGTTTGTTGAATGAATAAGTAACATCTGAAACAATGAGTAAACCCAAGTCTCTTGTTTCCCAAGTCACTTTTTTCGTCCACTTGATCACAATTCCTATCCTCAGATCCTACCTCTAGAATCCATTCAAATAAAGTATCAAATATTATAAAAAAAAAAAATCCACATTTCATTTCACCCAAATTAAGTGCTGCCCAATCTGTTAGCCGCCAGCTATAGGTGGCTTAAAATTAGTTAAAAATAAAGGAAATCAAAAACTCAGTTCCTCAGTCACTCTAGCTGTACTTCAATGCTCAGTAGCTATGGCTACCAATACTGGGCAATGCAGATAAAGAACATGTCTGTTGTCACAGAAAGTTCCATTGGACAGCACTGTGTTTGAGGGTTAACATCATAAGGTAGGGACTCCCTGGTGGTGCAAGGGGTTAAGCACAGCACTGTGAAGCTATCCACAGCCTCTGCAGCACGAGTTCAATTCCCAGCCAGTTAGGGAGCCACCCACATGGCGCGGCAGACCTCTCCTGTCTCGCCCACTGCTCCCTTCAGCAATGTATTTCAGTCAGTCTGCCTGTTCTGTTTCCCACTCTGTCCCTGGTGAATCCTCTCAACCCCCGCACCTCTGGTCTGTACCCCAGTTCTTGTATGCATAAATAAATAAATCTTAGGGCCTCCCCGGTGGCGCAGCGGGTTGAGCACCACACTGTGAAGCTGTCCACAGCCTCTGCAGCACAGGTTCAATCCCAGCTGGCCCGGCGAGAATCCCACATGGCGCAGCAGACCTCTACTGCGGCGCCCACTGCTCCTGTCTGCCTGTTAGGCTCCCTGCTCTGTCTCTAGTGAATTCTCTCACCCTCCTGCTCCTCTGACTATAACCCAGTTCTTGTATAAATAAATCTTAAAAAAAAATTTTTTTAAAAAAAATCACAGGGTAAAGGTAACTAATCCAAGTGGAATGCACTATGGGAACCAGAGGCAGCAGGGACATCAATATGCACAGAATGAGGCAGAGTCAGCCCAGGCAGAGAGAGCCACTTAGATAAGAGCTGTGCTTTATCTTTTCTGTTCTACCTACTGCTTTATTTCCACCTTGTGGTCCAAATGATGAGCGTTGGGGTTTCTCTGGGCCGGGGAAGCATGAAAGCCGATTTCCTTGTTATCAAAAAGACAGGGGTGGGAAACAAGAAGGAAGGCACTTGATTAAAACATGCACTGGTAGAAAGAATGTTTACATCTTTACACATTAGAAAGAATCTATAAGCACCTCAGAAAACAGTATTGGTTTTTCCTCTTATGACATCTTTCTCCCAATCACCCTGTCAGAGGTTCACACCATCGATGATTAGAGACTGTATCACCCCCAAGAAGGAGCAACAGTCCTGAGCCCAATCTCAGCAAAGGCAGCAGGTTCTAGGAGATAACTTCTCAGGCTCCAAAGCTAGTCAGTATAGAGCAATAAAGTCAGAATTTTTGAGTTAAATCCCAAATATGGAGTGGTCAGGTGCTTTGTCAGTCATTCTCTGCATGAGGAAACTGGAGGGCAAGCCACAGCATTAGCAGAACCGCTGGATAAGCTCTCGGGTATCCAGGCTCCCAGCACAGGCTTCTTCTCGAAGAGTAGACCTGGGCTGCTTCCACACACTGCACACTGGTGTCGCTTTCCCTGCTCTCCAGCCCTCTCTACCTTATTTGATCCGATTGCTGAGACTCTGAGACCCTTTATAAATATACACAGGAAAAGTTGCCAGGAAGTGTCCCTTTGGTCAGCACAATATAAAGAGGGGCCACAAAACACCGGTGTATGGATTTTACACAAAAAAAACAAAAATTATGGTGAGAGAAAGAACATATCAAACTGTCTAAACACAAATCATTTCACAACTAATACTGACCTAATTATTTTAGGAAATGATGCCTCAGAGATGCAAGAAAGGAAGAGGTCAAATATCAGCAATTTTCCTTGAACAAGGATAGAGAGGGCCCTGTCCCAAGCTCAGCGGGCTGGTTGGAGGCCAGCAGGGGGCATTGTAAATAAGGGTAACCAAGAAGCACTCAAAGGTACCACTGAACCTCCCTACTATTAAAGCATCTGTCTGCCTCTCAGCCACATCAATCCCGTGTTACTACTGTTAGGTAAGATCTATATATGTAGAAAGAGAAAGGCGGCTGAGCTACGAGATCTGAATTTGTGCGTCACTTCTCAACCTGCTAGCTAGACCCAGCTAGCAAAGTCACTTAACCTCTCTGGGGATCTTTTGTCATCTGCTAGCGAAGTCATGCTGTTAGCCTCTGAGGCTGACACATAGCAGCAGCAGCAGCAGCACTGCATGTCAAGAGCTCTGCTGAGGTCATACAATAGATAGCATCTAGCTTTAAATCACACATACACACAAAGAGCAGAAAACTAAAGACATTACAAGTTGCTACAAAATGTTTCATTTCCTAAGCAATTTCAAAAGTAACAGTTCTCCCTAAACTTCATTTCTTCTTGCTATTAGTTTTTACAAATTAATCTGGCACAGTTTGAACTGTTTAACCCTTTCAGATGCCCACTAATGCTCATCCTCCTCTGGTGCTGTATAACATAGACCTTAAAAAGGAAACAGTGTATCTGTGGACTAAGGAAGGGACTAGTGGTAGGAAGTACATGAAAGCTATTCTAATTAATTTTTCAAAGCAGAAATGACTAAACTCCTCCCATGATAAGACAGGGTTAGCCTGATGGCAAAACTCAGAATACTTTTTTTCAATACCAACATTCCTTTGGCCTTAGATACTTGGAGTACAGATATAAATCCTTTTAAATTACAATCACGCAAGTTAACCCCACATACTAGTGATGTTAATTTTTCTCAGAAAAGACCTAAAATTAAAATAATAATGTCTTCTTCCCCCATCTTTCTCTTACTCAATCACTGATCTTCCTCCTGAGATTACCTGATATTTGCTTACCTTCACCGTTTATGATTCACTTTATTTCCACAGAAAAATTGAAGGATTTTAGGTGACTCTCATTTTTTCCCTTTTTGTACAGCTACATTTTCTCATTTTTCTACAGTAATTATATATTACTATTTTTAAGTAGATATAATTTTGCTAATGAATGACATACCTCAATAATTTTTACAATATCCCGTGGACCAATAATTTCAGGATCAAACTTCACATGGGCTTTGCTGGTGGCAAGGGCCACGGAGGCGTAGGTGATTCCATCAGTCCTTGTGAGCTTGGACTCTATGTTGTGAACACAGGAAGCACAGGTCATCCCGGTGATCTGCAATAAAGGATGACAAAAATCCCTCACCCAGGATCAAGAGGAGCTTATCAAAGGCACACCACCGAAAGTTAGCCTAACAGGCAGCCACCAGCCTTTTCTCCTTCCCTAACAACCTTCCCAAGATGCTGGACATTCACTTCCATGCTCTATGCAAGATTTTTACCCCAAACATTCCCTCAGGGGCTTCAGGGATATAAACAGTCCTTCTTCCCCAGGTCACTACAGGACTCACAGATAATCACTACAGACACAGATGGCAACAGACAGAGACTTGACTTCAGGTTCTGATGATGGATTTTTGCAAGTTACTTCACATTCTTTGTCTCAGTTCTCATCTCACCAATGACCCCAGGTAATAATGCCTGCAGTTCCTCTACCTCAAAAGGGAAAGGATGTGCAACTCTGCAAAATCCTTTGTTCCAAAATACTTTCCACGATCTCAAGGGTCACTGGCATCTGATCTAGCTAATGCCCTCCCTATTGCAGGCTCTGCTGATTCCAAGGATGAAACATCAATACCTCATTATCAATAGGAGGAAAGGACCTAAGAAGTAACTGATGGAGGAATGGAATTTGAAGTGGTACCAAAGTATGATAGGGTGTTAACAGGTGAAGTAAGGGCACGGTGAGGAAGAAGCAAGGGGAAAGATGGCAGGACAGCATAAGGGGTTCAGGCGGCTACCAACAGTCAGGCGTGACTGGACACAGGAAACTCAGAAAGAAGGAAGCCTGCCCTGTTAGTTGGGTCCACACAAAGACTCTTGAACACCCAACTAAAAAGTATTGCTAAATCAACACTTGACAGGAAGTCAGTGATGGGTAATAAACATCAGAATGACAGGACTGGAGCTCAGATTGAAATCAGCATCAATTATCTCAAAATCAACGATCTCTAATCAGAATACAATCACATTGGCTTGGGACCCCAGGAAAAGACAGGCAATGCAATCCAAACCTTATAAAGTCCACAAATATTTCCTCAGTGCAACAAGCTCTCATTTTACTTTTGCAGTCACCCTAATAATGATACGAAATGTAATACTACACCCTTGCAATGTGCCAAGAATGCCACAAATATACTGTCCTGCTCACACCAACCATATTGTGTTGGTCTCAGAAACCGCAGCACCAAGGGGTTTGGGAACTTGTCCAGATGGGGCAGAGCTGGAGTCTGAAGCTGATGGCCTGGGACTGAGTCTTTGCTGGTGGCAAGGTATCTCATGAGGTGATCTTTATAACTGTCCCCGCAGTGACAGGGCCAGGACTGAGGCCCAGTACAAGCTACTCCACTCAATGTGAGAAAAAGGAGCTGCAAGTGAGATATGCCGTCCCTGTAATGTGCATTGGACAAAGCAGACAATCCACTCTCCCAAGTACCACTGGTCCAGAGTACTAATGAAACAGACAGAAATGCCTACACACAATGTCTGCACATGTGAGGACAGTATAACCACTGACACTGCTTAGTTAAAAAAAAAAATCAAAACAAGGTTTCACATTTCCTGATTCAGAATTTCCCTCTAGTGGCAGTCGGAGCAGGCAGAGATGGCCCCATGACCTGGGGCCCTGCTCCTGTCACAGGGGCTGGTTTGAGCTGAAATCTGGTGAACATTACACTTTGCCCTCCACATGCACAGAGGCCTGACCAGAGCAAAGGGTTTGCTGTGCAAATACCACCACTTATCAGGAGCTCAAAGTGCCACTGGTGTCCTCAGTACTTTTTCTTCAAACATTTACTTATCACCAATGGCAGTGACTAAACATAGCAAGGAAATAAAAGACCCTTTTACCTCAGTGAAAGAGCATTATTTAGTTCCTTGTGGGTTTTGTCTAAGTCTTCTTTTATTTACACAAAAGAGCTTTGTGCAGAAGTGCTTGGGAACACAGCACGTTCGGAAGCCCAGCTATACCTGTTGACTTCACAGGCTTGTTGACATGTGCACGGGTGAGAGTGCACGAACAGGAAATGACAACCTGCCCCATCCCAGCCACTCTGGGCATTCGTGACTGAGGACTCGGGGACACTCTGGTCAACAATCACCTTCTCAACACCCCTGCACCTCCCAACAAGCCCCATCTTTGAATGTACTGCCAACCACAACAATGCCCTCCCTTAGCCTCCGGCATTCCAGCTTCGCTCCAGCTTTGTGGAGTGTGTTCATACTCAACTCCCTCAAGCCACCAAACCCAGAACAGTCACCATTTTTAATTGCTCTTCTTCCAACAATTCCACAACTTGTCACCACCTCCTTTCTCTCCTCCTCTTCCTCATACCCTGAATATAGTGGGATCCTCATATTACTTTTTGATATAACTGACATTCCTTAAAAAAAAAATGAACACATTGTCATTGTTTTCAAAGGAAACAAAACCGCCAATGATAGCAGCAAACAGGACGCATGGAGCGGAGGGAGTGGCCTGACCACAGCCATGCTTCTTCAGAGCATACCTGCAGCCGGTCAGAGGCCTGCTGCACCCCAGCACCCACATCCACCCAGCCACCACACTTACAATCAGCTCGAGGTCGCCATCGGAGCCTGCGTAGTCTTCCATTACTGATGCATCAAAGCCCAAGTCCTGGATGAGCTGAGCTATCTCGAGTGGCTGGATGACTTCTGGATTATACTTAACCTCTGCCTTTCCAGCCATTAAGGCAACCAGCACGGAGAGAATACCTGAAACCATTGGGTCACAGCTGTAACACTCTGGGCAAGGGCTCTGGGATGACATGTTCAACAAAACCTAATGCAAAAATGTCTGCCCCAGAAGACTTGAGAACAATGGTTCTCATACTAGGCTGAACATCAGCTCCCTAGGAAGGTTTACAATCACAATGCCTGGCCCTTAACCCAGACCAATTAAATCAGAATCTCTCAGGGTGGTTGCCAGTCACCTTAGTTTTTTTCTTTCTGAAACTCCCCAGATAATTCTAATGAATAGCCAAGTGGGACATCACTACCTCAGAATAATGTCTCACACTGGGCAGACTGGCCAGTTGAGGACCTTGTTGAAATTCAGTGAGTCTGGGATGGGTCTGGGGCGGGCCTGGGGTTCTTGCAGGTCCACCCAGCTCCCAGACAAGGCACATGTTGCAGACCTGGTGGCCACTTCAAGTCAAGCTCTAGAACTAGACACTGATGGGTAGACACACCTCAAAGCAAGGGATGTAGTCTGCAGTATACCCATGAAGGATATACTTTTTTCTTCAGATCCTTTCAGTTCTTAATGACTTTAGGATTGAAAAATTGCTACAGACTATCTTGCTAAAACTGCTGTGCTGGTTTAAGGGAGGGAAAAAACACCTCATTGAAATAAATGAAAAGAATGATGAGCTTTTGAAAGGATGCCATAGGGAATAAAAATGAAGAATTCAAGTCAGGAGTAGAAACACAGGCACTGTGGGATTACAGGCTAAAGTCAGCTCACAGATTACAAAGGAACTCCTCAAACACCTCAATTTGAGAACGGTCATTTAAGAGTTAAAAAAAAAAAGCACAGTGAACCAGAGTAGGGAGAGATGTGTCATCTTAACTTAGGGTTGATTTTCAGGGTGAAGGAGTCTAAACAGAAAGACACATGAAGTCACTGGAGTGACCCTGGTTGTGCAATTGAGTCATTGTTAAGATAGTTTCCAAATTAAAAAAAAAAAAAACTGGGACAGGCTTTTGTTCCACTTTCAGGTATAAGAGACAGCACTGGAAATCTAGCTTAAGAGGACAAAACGTTGCCATTTCCACATCATTCTATGGCTTACAAGGACAAGAAGTCAGCATATTTGAACTTGGAACTTCACAAGATGCAGGCTGTTTAATCGTTTGATAGTAAGATGTTCATGTGATGGGAAGAGAAAAATAAGGGCTATGACTAGGCCAGGCTAATCAAAGAGCCTACTCATGGAATGTACCATGACCTTTAAACTGGATTTCTAACTTACTCAAGAACACACTTTATCTCAAACAACTTAAATACTTCTTAAAGAACAATGCCAATTGCCCAAGAACATTAGACAAACATCTACACTGTCATTAATGAACTTGGTACCAGATTGTCCCAGCCACTGAAAAATACAGTCAATAGAGACTGCCGAGAGCACATGGCTCCCTACTTTATGACTGAGTCTACACACAGCACCCCAGTTTAACCTGGGTGTAGATCACTTACCAGCTTCTTTCTGCAGGCTTCTCTCTATGTTAGACACACAGGATGCACAGGTCATGCCCGTGATCTGTAAAAAGCACTTCTGTGGTACCACCGTTTTGGAGACTTGTGGGGATCTGGAAGAGCCGAAATTTTCAGGGAGTCCCCCAGCCTGGAGAGGCATTTCCTGCACAGATCCAAGGGCATCAGCTGCAGTTGGCACCCTGGCACTCTCCACACAGGGGTTTCCAACATGGCTGCCAGGGCGGTTTTCTAGGATAAAATGTCAGAAATCATTCACATAAGAAAAACAAATGAGGGCCTCCCCGGTGGTGCAGCGGTTGAGCGCTGGGTTGCGAAGCTGCCCGCAGCCTCTGCAGCGCCGGTTCAATCCCCGGCTGCTCCCTGGCCACCGGAGGAGGGTCCCCCATGGGGCGCAGACCTCTCCTGCCGCCCGCTGCTCCCCTCAGCAGTGTACTTCGGTCCTTCTGCCTGCTCTGCTCCCCGCTCTGGCTCTGGTGAATTCTCTCACCCTCCCGCGCTTCTGACTGTACCCAATGCTTGTACATATAAATAAATAAATAAATAAATAAATGAATGAATGAATGAATGAATGAATGAATCTTAAAAAAAAAAAGAAAAAAGAAAAACAAATGATACATTTTTTTCAGAACAGGTTCAAGCTGAACAATATTAAAATGAAAGCTTTTGAAGAGGCTACTTGGGGATTGGTGTTTCCATCACTCTCTCTCCCTCCCCTGAACCAGAGACAGAGGCACACAATTAAAGACATAGGAAAATATGCCAAATACTTTGAGAATGGAATGTTGTGGCTAACGAATGCTCGAATTGGATAATAACAATATTAATTCCCCAGGCACATGCATTTACATATATGATCCCCTTTCATCCTTAAAATAGCCCTCTGTGGTAAATGCTATCATCATTGCTGTTTTAGAGATGAAGAAATGAGTTTACCCAGTACCCCCGAGGTGGCAAGCAGTGAAGTTAGCTTCTAAACCGGGCCTGTTTAACTCTGTTTGGCCCCAGAACCCATCACTCTGGTTAAGAGAGGTTCACTCCCGCCCCATGAGAAACAAAAGGACCTTTCTTGAGTTGTTTGCCTTTCTCTTACTGTGTAGATGTCCTACATATACTCTAGGCACAAGTCCTTTGTCAGGTGTGTACACCGCAAATATCTGCTCTCAGGCTGCGATTTGTGTTTTCTCTTTTATCTACTGGTGTCTCTTTTGATAAAAGAAGTCCATTAATGATTGTGTTTTTCGCACTTTATAAATAGTGGTGAAAATGTCCATGGTATTTTCTTTTTTTTAAGTTATTATTTTAATTTTTTTATGTATTTTTTACATTGTTCTTCATTTTTGTACAATGTGTGTTTTCTCATCTCAGTTACAGTCCCCGTGAAATTCCCACCACCCATTCACCCATGCACCATCACCCTAGTCCCTTGTGCTCTTCCCACCCCCGTTTTGCTCCTAGTCCCTTCACCCTGCCCCTGCAGAATATCTCTGGTTTATAGATGTTTGGTGATTTTGATTTTCACTTTATTATAATTACTTTTTTTCCCTGATCCCTTATTTGGATGCTTTACATTCCTCCTATAAGTCAAACCATCTGATATTTTTCATTTTCTTTCTGGCTTATTTCACTGAGCATGATCCCTTCCAGCTCTATCCATTTTGCTGCATTCCTGTCATGAATTAGGAAACCATGTATGTGTGGACCTATTTCTGGATTCTCCATTATGTCCATTTACCTTTTCGTCTTTTGCGCCATTTTTAAAGGTATAATGTACTCAGAATAAGATGCACAAGAGTTCCAGTCTATGAATCTTTACATATGATGCATTCGTTCCTTCTACTACTATAACAAATTCCATTAATGCAGTGACTTACCACCACAATGCATCATCTTACAGTCCTGTAGGTTAGATGTGGGACATGAGTCTAAAATCAAGGACCTGGCAGGACTGTGTTCCTTGGTAGAGGCTCAGAGGAGATCAGTGCTTCTGAAGGCAGAAAGGCATTTTTTTCTGCCTTTCCCAGCTTTTCCAGGCCATTTACATTCTTTAGCTCATGGTCCCCTTGGTCCATCCTCAAAGTTAGCAATGTCAAGTCTCTTCAGTCTTCACAAGTCTCTAAACCAGTCAGGAGCGGGTCTCCACTTTCACAGACTGATGGTGATTCGATTGGCCCACCAGAATAATAAGTAAGTCCCCCCAGATATCTCTATCTCTAGGTCCATTTCATTCACTGCACCTTTACACAACAAAGTTCTTTTTGTTATGTAAAGTAACATTCACAGGGTCCAGGGATTAGGGTGGGAACATTTTGGGGGCCATTTTTCTTTTTGCCCACCACATGTGTATATAACTATGCAACTAATCACCAACCTGGTCACAATGCAGAGCGCTTTTTGTTACTGGAGAAAGTCACACCATTTTGATGACACAAAATACCTTTAAGAATACACTGAAAAGATAATTCTATCACTTAATGATGAATTCTCATTATTTGAAAAGCCACTGCTGCAGGAGACAGAAGATGGTATTAGCCTGTATTAACAGCCTCTTCTAAATAAATCTCACATATTGGGAGGTTTTGCTTCTTTTCTGAAAAATGCTAATACTACTTCCACTCACTTTAAGAGTTCAGCTGATCTACAATTTTAGCACTTGTATAAAAGACTTCCAATACTCTGGTCTCACCTTCAGCACAGGTTTATGCTCCAGCTCCTTGTTACTGTTCAAAATAACTCTGCTGCTTGGATCTCAGAGTCACAAAATCTATTTTGTGGCCACAGCCTCTTAAGATTCAACCTCCTACATCCATCAGCCCTCCTGCACCTTCCCAACTTCTCCCTACCTTCCCAGTCCATCATCAGTTTTCTATATATGCTGCCTTTCATCCAAAAATGGTCAACAGTTTAGATGCTATCATAATATTATAAAGAATTTCATATTCACTGTGATAGTGGGATTTATAATAAATATATACTTGGTCTTTGTCCCATTTCTGGCACAGAGTTCCTGAATCCTTTGGAATTAAAGTTCCTTTTGTTGTGCTAACAAGATGACCTGTGGACCACACCTAAGGATGGAGGCTGGTTGCCAGTGCTCCAGTAGAGACAACCATGTGATGAGAGGGCTAGAATTTTCAGTCTTACCTCTGGAGCTCGTGAAAAGGGAAGGAGGCTAGTCACCAAATGGTTGATAATTTAATCATTTGTGTCTATGTGATGGAACTTCCATAAAAACCCAAAAGGATTAGGTGGAGTGGGGGAGCATGGGTCCCCCAGAGAAGGGATGGAAGGAAAGCTCAGCAGCCCCTCCTCATGCCTTGTCCTATGCATCTCCTCCATCCTGCTGTTCCTGAGTTATAACCTTTGTAATTCACCAGTAGTTGTGGGCAGACTAGTTTCCCAAGTTCTGCTCTATCAAATTAAGCAGACACAAGGAGGGCGTCACGGGAACCTGACTTACAGCCACATGGAAGCACAAGTTGCTACCTGGACTTAAGACTGGCATCTGAAATGCAAGGAAGTCTTGAAGAACTGAGCCCTTAACCTGGGGGACATGATGCTATCTCTGGGTAGATAGTGTAAAAATTGGTTGAAATTGTAGGACACTTGGCTGTCATCAGAGAACTGTTTGGAAAAATACACACAAATCTAAATGGCAACTAGAAACATACCCCCTTACTAACCTACAATTTATATGCTGTCATTCTCTAACATTGAGGTGCAACAACTAAATTCTGGGCTTCTGGAAATTGCTAAAGAAAATTGAAATTATCAAAAATGCAAACAAGCTTATGTTATAGGGTCCTTTTATCAGTCTGTGCTAATAATTCAGGTGGGCATATTAATTGATTCAGTTTTCTGGAAATCTATTTGACGATATTATAAAAAAAAAACAGTACCTCTATTTGTCACTTAATAGAGTGACAAATATTTAAGACGAATGAAATAAAATGCTTATATCTTGTGACTCAGCAAGTATGTTTTTAAATAATTATCATAAGGAAACAATTAAGTAGGTACACAAAGATTTGGTGTCAGAGATGCCCATAAGTATTATTTACAATCACACACACAGAAAATAAACTGGAACAGTTCAATAGGAAATTGACTGAGTAAATTACAGTGCATCCATGTGATAAAATGCAATGCAGCCACCGAACATAGTGTTGAGAATTCTGCTCCTGAAAGTGTTCACGATGAATTGCAGAATGAGAAAGAAATTACAAAACTATGTACACAACCCTTCCTTTCCTAAATATAAATTATATATGTTCTAGGAAAAGTCCAAAAAAAACATGTATGAAATGAATTGTGCCATGTGAATTTTGGGGGAAAAGATTTCAGGGAGAGGGGACAGCAAGTATAAGACCTGGGGTTGAGGGCAATGCTGATAAGAAGAATGGAAAGGGGTCAGAAAAGAATAGGTAAGGGCAGGGGCTTCTAGACTGCCCTAAACACTCTTCCTCTTACAATACGAGATGGTAGGGCTTGGGACTATCAACAGAGCAAGAGAATTGTTGTGCCTGCTGGGCCAGAATAGATCATAAGGTTTAAAGGAAGAAGAGAGAAGACCAATTGGAGGTTCTTCCAAGATCCAGAAAACAGTGATAGTAGCTTGGACCAGAGTGCTAGCCTATTGATAATCTCCCCTTACTTATACCCAAGCTCCATCTAAGCCAGACTGCGTCCAAGACATACCTAGAGGACTCCCACCTCAGGCCTGTGCTCACATCTGTCTGGTGTGCAATTCAGCCCTTCTCTGCCTGCTGAAATCCTATCTAGGCCCAGATCCAGGGTTAGCTCTACCATCAAATCTTTGGGAGTTTCACAACCAGATGCTGGACTTGCTCCTTATCTTCTGAATCCCAAAAGTACACGACTTACATCTTCCTTGTTGCATTTATTCAAACCCACCTTGGATGACAGGTCTCTGTGCCTGCCTCCCTGCTAGGTACTGGACGGCCTGTGAGCACAGCAGCAGTTGGCAAAGTCCTGGATCCAAAGGCCCATCATACGCTGAGACAAGGGAACAGTGCCTCTGAAAGAGGCAACACCCATTTACAAGGGTGAGAGGAACATGTCATACCTGACATTCCTTTTCCTCACCCTATATTCATAAAAAAAAAAAAAAAAAAAAAAAAAAAAAAAAACTAACCATGCAATACAAGCAGAGCTCTCTTCCAGATAAAAAACCAGGTCTCAATGTATTTTCAGCTGTCAAATGAGCTGACAAATTCCATGTCCATCACTTGCCATGTTTTCTCAGACTGTTCCCTTCCCTTCCCCACTTATTATCACAAGGGGCTGACCCCACAATCCACTTTCCCCCAGGCTCCCTTGTCAACTGGTTTCTGATTAAATTTGTCACATGGGAGATAACAAGTGAGAAATGATGGGACAGAAAGGTGCAAAACCAAAGTGTTTCCCCATCTGTGTACTGGGAACCCAGCTCCCAGTTCCAGCAGTGCTAGTTCCCATGAGGCCCTCCCAGCCCCCCAGCTGTCACAACACATCAGAACTTCCAGCTGATTAGAGGAATGGAAAGGGGTCAGAAAAGAACAGGTGAGGGCAGGGGCTTAGAACCTCCAGCCTGGGTGTGGTGGTTTCTACTACTATTAACTGCTTGGGTTTCCTTCCCATTCTTTTATTTTTTGTTCACATCCTTGTAAATATCGATAGTTTCCCAGCTGCAATCCCTCCATTGAGCCACCCTACAACCCTGCTTGTCATAGTCATTTTCTTTCTCTTTCATTTTCTTCACAAACACCTACTATGCGCTGGGTGCTCCTGAGTCAAAGGAGTACCCAAGTCAATCCAAAATGACTCATCAAATACATACAAAGCATTTTTAGTATTTAAGTGACTATAAAAAACAGTCACCAATGTACACTAACACTTGATCTTAAATTAAAGTTGCCAGGTAAAGTACTGATGTCCAGCTAAATTTGAATTTGATAAACAACCAATAATGTTTTGGTATAAGTATGTCGCAAATACTGCATGAGACGCATTTACACTAAAACATTGCTCATTGTTTAACTGAAATTCAAATTTAATGAGGTAGCCTATTTTTTATTTACTAGATCTGGTATCCTAATATCTCTTGGGTTAGCATAATTTTCATACTTCTGCCCAGTAAAAATCACTCTTCTTTTCTTTCTTGGTTTACTTAGTCATATCCAATTTTTCTGGATTGTAAACTTCAATGCAAATTTCTTTTTACTGCCAAAAACCTGATTCAATGTTAAAATCTTTAAACCTCACACAAATATAGCAGATGACAACTACATTTTTTAACTGTTGAGTATGGAATTTACCATTCTATTGTTTTTTCCTTATTATTTGTTGTTAAACAAATCAACTCCTTCCTGAAAGTTGGTACAGAAGGCAAAGGACAAAATGGGCCACGTCACTCCCCATGATTTACCCACAACCTTCAGTGACATGTATAAAAAAAAATCTCTCAACACAGCCAGTCCTCAAGGAGACACACTGTGTCTCGATCTCCATGAGAGTGGACTGGGATATGCAAGTCCAGGCGAGCTAAGCATAGCCTGTGGGCTTGGCTCACAGACTCGTCATTGTGAGGGCCAACCACATCCCCAGAGCAGTAGGCTCCAGCCATAGGCTGATGCAACTTCACATCCCAGTGTAGCCTATTTCACACTGACAGGGCCTGGATCTTGGGATCTGAATAGTTTAAATACTACTACTCACAGGTGTCCCTCATAAAAGGCCCACTTCCCCCTCCTTAACTTTCAGCCTCTCACTCCTTAACCTCTGTGGTTCCCCTAGCTCTTTCCTTGAAGCTTCTTTATTTCCAGGACTCCACCACTTCACTCATCAGTGTTGTACAAGATCCTCCTCTCTTCCTCCACATCAAGGTCACCACATTCCTCCCTCTGCTCCTTCCCCTTCTCACACTCTTCTAGGGTCTTCTATCAACTCCTATGGCTCCCAAAACTCAAATCTGCACTTCCAGCCCCATTCTCTCCCTGGAATTCCAGGTTCACCATTCAAGGCTCCTCCAGTATCCACCTCAGTTCACTGCAGGCTGTTTTTCTCATCCGGAGGCCTCCCCCATCACACATACCCTTAATCTGACACCAAGGCTGGTGGAGTTGACTTCCTGAAGGTTTTTCATATCCATCTCTTGCTCTCCAGCCCCACATCATTTCTCACCGGTCTCCAATGTGGTCTCCTACGTCACTTGATACTGACTGGTCTTCTAAAATATAATCTGACCTGTGTCTCCTCTGATAAAAATCACTGGTGACTCCCCTCTGTTTGACATGCAGGATATATCTGGGGTAACCTACCCACTGTCCAGCCTCAGTCTCCACCCTCCCCCAGTCCTCACCCTCAAGGAGGCCACCTGGCCCTCTTTCTAGCTTTCCCCTTATACTGTGCTGCCCTCTAGGCCTGCAGGTCACTTTCCAGGCTGCTTCCGGGTCCCCTAGCTTGTGTACCCCTCCTCTGCATCTCACTGGATCACCCCCACTCACCCTCACCCTCCCAGAGGAACCCTTTTGAGCATCCAACTTTGGCTCAGCTGCCACGTGGACTTACAAGGACTTGTCCCACTGTCTCCGACCTCCCCGCCCCTACAAGGCAAGCTCTCAGGAGAGGCCCTGTCTCATGTATTCAGTAGCTCACAACTCGCAGTCCTGGGGCTCTTATGTAAGAGAAATGTAAAAGAAGGCCAGCAATTGAATGTGCGCTACCCTAGAGACTCTGCCTAGTGATGAAACCTCAACCATGCAGGTTGTCACGCCATCCCTGCCCACAGCCAGCCAGGGTGCTAAGGAAATCATCGTCAAGGCCTTCTCTTAAATCCCACTTTCAACAGAAAACCAGCTGGTCAGACTATAGTTGTGCTGTTTTTACTGTTTTGTTTGAGAAAGAAATGATGATGGTTTCTCTGGAGAGAAAATGGTCTGATGTTCCCACAGTACTCTTTCAAAAGAACATGGAATCAGACCTCGCTTCAGAAAAGCAGCCAAAAATCCAAGGAGCTTAAAATGCTAGTCCCAGCTACATGAAGGCAAAAATGTATACACTTGGAAATTCTATCTCATGTGTCCTGACAAACAATACCAGAGGAAAAGTTGCAGGATTCTGTTCACCACAGTCACCATGTGAGGCAGTTAGCACGACTCACCTGCCCAGCCGTTCTCGTCATGTAACACAAAGAGAAAAGGAGACAACTTTCAAATGCATCAACTACATACCAGAAATGACTGAAGCCTCAAATCCCATGTCTTCCACAGCAGCTCGGAGCTCTTCTGGGTTAATTATACAGGGGTCATAGAGAACAGTTCCAGTCCCTTGGGCCAAGGAGACTGATATGTGCTGCACACCTTTCTTCTGGGAGATGGCACCTTCGATGGAGTGCACGCAGGACGCACAGGTCATGCCAGCAATGGCAAGCATCGCCGTACAGTACATGTCTGGCATCTGTGTCCCATGGGAGGGGCCGGGGGAGTGCCGTGAAGACCTGCTCTCTGTCCCACTTCCTTCTGCTCCACCAGGAAGAGAAACTTTAAAGTTGCCAGGTGGAAGAGCCTCGATGGCCCTCTGCAGGGCCCCTGGTGAGACACGAGAAGGGTCGTACTGTACTTGGGCAGTGCTGTTCTCCAGGGACACTTGAATATTTTGAACTCCTGGGAGTTGGCCTATATTTTCTTCAATATTCACGACACAAGACCTACAGTGCATTCCCTCTACTCTCAGGGTGACCGCATGGCTGGCTTGGTGCCCTGAGGTCTTAGAGTTACTGGCATTCTGGTTCACAAAAGCTAGAGATGTCTTTGGGTTTGTGCCCTGTAAGAGCTCAATGTCGATTGGCCCCAGGTTCACGGGCGCGCCTTTGTTCTTGATGACAGCTTCAAACCCCATGTTGCGGACGTGATCCCTGAGGTCTTGAGGTTGAATAAGATAAGGCTGGTAAGTGATGACTGCCTCTTGGTTGCTGAGTGAGACCTTGACCCTCACTACTCCTTGCAGTTTCCCAATCTTGCCTTCTATAGAGGTGACACAGGACTGGCAAGTCATGCCCTCCACCCGCAGCTTGACCACAGCCTCCAGGGCATGTGAGGACCTTGCGGGCCAGGAGGCAGCCTTTCCTTCTGCAATGCTGGCCTCGAAGCCCATGTCCTCAATTTGATGGCAAACCTGTTGCAGGCTCATGAGCGAAGGCACGTATTTCACTATAGCGCTACTTTGTTCTAAAGAAACCTTAATGCTCACAATGCCTTTCAAACTGGAAATCCTGTCCTCGATCGCCTTCACACAGGACTGACAAGTCATGCCCAAAATGCTGACGGTGCTGGTGGCCTTCGGGGAAGCGCACACGCCATCAAGACCATCCTCGTAGCCAACATTGTCGAAGGCGAACGTCTGCTTCATGGCTGGATCCCGGGCATGAGCAGATAAAGATAGTTTAGAGAGGATCTAAAAGAAAAAGAAATAACATTTTCATCCCTAAAATTCAGTGTTTTCTAAAATATCTCAGCTTGTCTGACACTGAGAAAATGGAAAACACTATCACTGTTAAAATACCCCAAGAGTACAGGAGCATAAAATGCAAGAAAAGAAAGCTACGGACTGTTTCTCAAGTAAAAGGATTTAGATGGGTCTCTTTTAGCTCTAGTTTTCTGTAATTCTGAACCTACATCAACTGCCCACCTTATAGGCATGTTCTTCTTCCCCAGAAGGGTTGAAGGGTTGGAGATTTCTGTAGGAAAGGAGGAGAGAAACAGCCACACAGCACAGGCCCATGACAGAGGCAGAAAGAGCACAGTAGCCCACAATGGGAAGATGCAGGGGTCCCAAGAGAGCTATTCCCACCTCTAGCTTAAACCTCCCTAGAGAATTTAGTCCTTGCACCTCAAACTTTGGGACCCCATATCTGTGCAAATATGTAGACTGGACATCACCTTAATTCTGTATCTCTCATTCTCTTAGTTGGGATCAATATATTGAACCTCTATAGAGCATGTTACAAATGTAAATCTCCTAGGCCCCTGGGCTCAGGCACCACAGCCGTGGAATAGAATCTGAAGGCTGCCCCTTGAACCAGGGGACATGAACACAAGTGGCAAGGCCGATAGGGACAGAAGGGAAAGAACTGGAAGAACATGAAGTTGAGTTTGACAAACAACTTCTTGGTTCTGCCCTAGGAGAGTACCAATGCCCTCCTGGGTGTTCAGGACACCTGTACTCACGGCCTAAGATTACAAGCGCTTCACCAAATTACATGGGCCCATTTTCTCAATGTACCACAATACAAGCATAATTCCCTGATTTCTTCTCATGATGATGTGGCCTTAGTTCTTCTATTAACGACAAAATTTCCTATAACAGGGTCCTGGGTTCACCACACTCTTAAGTAGATGTAGCTTTTCATATCTATTGTATGCTTCTGATATTTGTCTTCAGACTTTTATATATGGTACACTTTTTAAAAAAATTTGTCATTCTCTACACAAACCTACTTAATCTTCAGCTGTATCTCAACAACTTAAAATTGATCTCCATATCCCTGTGTATGAAAGGCATATCCCTCTAACTCAGCTGTTGAGCAGCTTAAGATGAAAATTTAAATGACTTTTAAAAAAGATTATGTTCATTTGTGTATCCACAAAGGAAATCATAGGCCAGTTTCAAAAAATATTCCTTGTACTATTTCCTAAAATAGTAGAGAAAAAAAGAGAATAACTAATTTATGGGACAGAAACTCAAAAAAATTTGGGGACTTCAACAAATGTACTGAAATTATCTATGGCATAAATATAAAAATGTGGAAATGTGCTATATTGGAAATGTGCTAATTGTGCTATGGAAATGTGCTATATTGGAATTGTGGTAGTGTTTGCTTCGGCAGCACATATACTAAAATTGGAATTGTGGTAAATGTGGTAGAGTAGTATTAATGGACAACTGGGTAGCCTCCCGGCAAGCCTATTTGTAAAAAGTATATAAACTTGGAACCTATATTTCAAAGACAATTTCAGATAGATCAACGATGTAAATAAAAAATATATTAAAAATACTAAGAAAAAACAGAAGAACATCTACAACAATCTCAGCACGAGGAAAGCTTAAATATGACAAAACAAAAATCAAGAAAATCCAGGAGCTATAAAATTTTTATATATCCAACCCCAATAACAAAAAAAAAAAGTTCAAACCAAGTTAAGAGATAACAGAGAAGAAAACATTATTTGTTTCACATTAAGCAAATTAAGAGCCTATTTCTTTAATATATAAAGAAGTTCTTCAAAGAAGAAAAATCCCAACAATCTAAGAAAAAAAGAACACAGGTCATTAAAGAGAAAAATGTAAATGTAAGAGGAACAGTGAGAAGCAACCTCCAGGCCAGTGGGTGGCGCTCCCAGTCAACTCAGTGGTAGAAGGTGGAGCTTTCTGAACTCCACCCCCTGGTGTCCTGAGCAGAGGTTGATGGGAAATAGAAGCTGGGCTGGCACCTGAACTGCTTACAAGAAGGGGTATCTGTGGAGAAGCCTTTCGCTTGGCTCTGGTCTCTGCTCCGCCGACACTTTTTGGGGCAGGACAGACAACATCTGGCCACGTGCAGCCAGTAATTTTTCTTTGCCCTTTTTTCTCTCCCCATTTTCTTTTCCTCACTCCTGTGTAAATAAACCTCTTTTGTTTCTCTCCATGCATCTGTTTTTCAGTCCTGTCCTGCATTCTTAAGTACACAGGTCTCCAACTGAATCATTCCTGTACCAGTGGGTTTGCCCATTTCAGGTGGATCCTCACGTATGCTTAAGAATAACTTTTTAGTACATGAAAAGATATTAAAAGAAAAATGTTAACATTCCAACAACATTGTTTTTACCAATCATCTTGGCCTCCTTGACTCAGAACTAGTTCTCCAGAACTAGCGAAAGTGTAACCTCTCTGGAGGACAACTTGACAATACTCATTAAAATGGTAAATTCACACACTTTGCCCCAGCAATTGTATTCTAGGGCTGTATCCAATTAATGTACTTGTTGGTGTGCAAGCAAAAAAAAAAAATATTAAATAACCCAAAGGACTGGAAACATAAATGCCCACCTAGAGGCTGGTTAAATTACTGTACGGCCACAAAGTGGAATACCATCAAGCTTTTAAAAAGACTAAGGCAATTCTTATTAGTACTGAGGAAGAGTGCTATCTAATACATTGTTTAGTGAAAAGGCCAGGCACAGAATATATAGTGTTTCCATTTTCTATTGCTGTACAACAAACCAAGTCTAATAACTCATAATGACAGTTCAGTTTTTTCAATTTGGACAGTTTGGTAAGGAAAGCTTGTCTCTGCTCCAAATAGCATCATTTGGGATGGCCTGAATGGGATTAGGGGTTCCACTTCAAAGGGGTGGTTTATTCATCACATGGCTAAAAAGTTTGATGATGGCCGCTGTCTAGAGACTGCTGGTGGCAATCCTAGTTCTGTCCCATGCAGCCTCTCCACATGGCTAGGTTGGTGGCTTCTGAGGTCTGAAAGGGAGTATATTAACAGTACTCCCAGAGGACAAGTTCCAATGTACGGCACTTATTAAGCCTTCACTGGTATCACACTTGCTAAGTCACTACTGGCCAAAGCCAGTTACAGGGCACAGCTTAGTCAATATGGTATAGAATTACATAAAGACTCAAATACAAGGAGATGCAGTTCCTCTGGAGGACCATCAAAACAAATCTCAACACATAAGACTGGCAACATTTGTGTAAGAAAAAGAACATTCTAGATACTTATATATGCATGGATTATCTCTGAGGAATGCATAAGAAATCAGGGCAGAGTTGGAGGACTGGGGAGCAGAAGAGATCAAGTGGCTGGGGTACAGGAGTAAGAAGAGTTATTTTCACTGTACAACTTATAATTATACAAAATGAATATGAATTACCAAGTGCTAAAAAATAATTATAAAAATTAAAAATAAAACAGCACAATAATAAGAGGGATTCAGAACACTGACTTGATTTTAATTGGTATTAACTAAATAGTTGTTTAATTTGAAAGAATGAAGCAAAATAACATATTTGAAGCCATTCACTCAGAGTACCGTAATAAACAGAAACTGTCTCCTTATCATGAGACATAACCCTCAGTCCAGGTCTGCTGAAAAAACAAACCCCTGATGATTTACTGCCCAATTTATTTTTCTTGGTTCTAGCTCAAGCTACAACTCATCAGATCGCAAGTCACTATGCTGGCACTTAATCCCTGGAATGCTGATTCCATGCTCTTGCAAAAAGGATTTGCAGAAGTCTTAGAAGGTGTTTGTTTGTAGCAAACAATACTCAAGAGGCACCCATTCAAGACAAGCAGGTTCATAAGGACAAGCAGTATCAAAGATAAAGCTATGCAAATAATAAATTTATGAAACACTACCCCGTCTATTGGTTTAGCAGCAACCTCTTAACAGTTGTCACTATTTTAAAGTGCAAACAATTGGGGTGTGGGGGGGGTGTGTATGTGTGAGTGCATGTATGCTCACATTTTTAATTTCATCCTTCAATTAAGACGATCTTGGGTGGGGGGAAGGGTGGTAACTTCCTAATCAGTTAAAACATATTTTGGTTTAAGGGCTCATGGAAAAAACGGTAGACACTGAAGCGTGTACCCAAGATACAAATTGTGTTTCTGGGATACCTTGTGGAAGCCTAAGTTTTACTGAATCCCTGCTAAATTACATGCTCCTTGAGGACAAACATCTAGAATTTTTTCTGCAGGCCCAGCATCAGTTTGGGATATATCTTTTACTGGCTTTTGAATTTTTAATAAACTACTAGTATAGCAGACAGCAGGAGTAAAAGGGACTAGAATACAGGAGGTGACAAAGAGGAATCCTAAAATTAATTTCAATTCCTTGCTACTTCTCTAGGGACCCAAGTCACACTGAATTTGCTGAGTACCAGAAGCTTTAGAAGAAAAGAGAGGTAAAAGGATGTAAGCTGTTGTTGATTCCTCAAGATGCACAGAAAATAAAATAAGATCTTCGGATAGGCTACCATGAAGAATTAAAGTTACGGTGCCACATTTTTGATGAAACTTTTTAAAGTCAGACTGAAATGAAAAGCCCAGAAACAACCTGCCTTGTAGAAAGTGGCTGGGATCACAAATCAAAGAGAAAAAAGAAAAGAAAAGAAAAATAAATCAAAGTACAACACAACCAGGAGATGTGCAAATGGAAGACCACTAGCAACTTCTGCTACCTCATTTGCTCCGGGATCACCATTGTCCACATTCCCATTACCCTCAAGATTGTACTCACTTTGAAAGGTGTTTAACATCTTTAACTTATGAGGCAAAAGCATTCAACTTCCCAGTGTAGTACTTCTTCCTCACACAACCAATGTAACTGAACTTCATAGAATTAAACTACAAAAAAAGCCCTAATTTTTCATATGTACACAGAGCTGATATTAGCAAATAG